GGTCAAGCGCCTCTGCCAAGGGTGGTACCTGTGGCTCAGTGAGTAGGGTGCTGGCCCCATATATGGGGGTGGCGGGTTTAAACCTGGCCCCAGCCAAACTGCAACAAAAAAATAACCAGGTTTTGTGGTAGGTGTCTATAGTCCCAGCTACTCAGGAGGTTGAGGCAAGAGAATCACCTAAGTCCAAGAGGTGGAAGTTGCCGTGAGCTGTGATGCCACATCACTCTACTGAGGGCAACAAAGTGAGACTCTGTCTCTTAAAAAAAAAGAAAAAAAGAAAGAAAGAACCTCTGCCAAGGGTTACTACTAGTCGGCCATCTTCTTAGAATTCCATTCTTCCCAAATCTTGAAAGTATGATGATGATATTTTAATGGGGATTGGATTGAATCTGTAGATTGCTTTGGGGTAGTATAGACATTTTCACAATGTTGATTCTTCCCAGCCAAGAGCATGGGAAGAATTTGTTCCATTTGTTAATATCTTCCATTACTTCTTTTGTTAGGATTTCATAATTTTCTTTGTAGAGGTCCTTCACTTCTTTTGTTAGATACATTCCTAGATTCTTCTTCTTCTTCTTCTTTTTTTTTTTGATGCTACTGTGAAGGGAACTGTGTCCTTGATTAGCTTCTCACCTTGGCTGTTACTGGCATATACAAAGGCTACTGATTTGTGGAAGTTGATTTTATATCCTGAGACATTGCTGTATTTTTGAATTATTTCCAGGAGTCTTGTGGTTGAGTCTTTCGGGTTCTCTAAGCATAAGATCATATTATCAGCAAAGAGGGAGAGTTTGATCTCCTCTGCTCCTATTTGGATGCCCTTTATTTCCTTGTCTTACCTAATTGTATTGGCTAGAACTTCCAGCACTATGTTGAATAGTAATGGTGACAGAGGACAACTTTGTCTGGTTCCATTTCTGAGTGGAAAAGCTTTCAGTTTTACTCCATTCATTAAAATATTAGCCATTGGTTTGTCATAGCTGGCTTCAGTTAGTTTAAGAAATGTGCCACATATGCCTATACTCTTCAGTGTTCTAATTAGAAAAGGATACTGGATTTTATCAAATGCTTTTTATGCATCTATTGAGAGGATCATATGATCTTTGTTTTTGCTTCTGTTCATATGGTGAATTACATTTATAGACTTGGGTATGTTAAACCAGCCTTGCATTCCTGGGATGAAATCTACTTGATCATGACAAATGATTTTTTTTAAATGTGTAGTTATAATCCATTGGCTAGTATTTTATCGAGAATTTTGTATCTACATTCATTTGTGAAATTGGTTTGAAATTCTCCTTCTTATTTTGGTCTTTTCCTGGTTTTGGTATCAGGGTGATGCTTGCTTTGTAGAATGTGTTGGGGAAGATTCCTCCCTTCTCAAATTTTTGTAATAATTTCTGCAATAAGGGTATAAGCTCTTCTTTGAAGGTTTGATAGAATTCTGGTGTGAAGCCATCTGGACTGGGGCATAAAAAGACCCAACAATCCCATATATCAATGGGCAAGAGAAATGAATAGAACCTTCTATAAAGAAGATGACAAATGGCTAACAAACATGGAAAAATGCTCATCATCCCTAATCATCAGAGAAATGCAAATCAAAACTACTCTGAGATATTACCTACACCCAGTGAGAATGGCCCACATCACAAAGTCTCAAAGGTGCAGATGCTGGCATGAATATAGAAAGAAGAAAACACTTTTACACTGCTGGTGGGACCGCAAAATAATACAACCTTTTTGAAAGGAAGTATGGAGAAATCTACAAAGAACTCAAATTAGACCTCCTATTTGATCCTGCATTCCCATTACTGGGCATCTACCCAGAAGGAAAAAAAATCCTTTTACCATAAGGACACTTGCACTAGACTGTTTATCACAGCTCAATTTACAATCACCAAAATGTGGAAACAACCTAAATGCCCACCAACCCAGGAACGGATTAAAAAGCTGTGGTATATGTATACCATGGAATACTATTCAGCCACTAAAAAAGATGGCGACTTTACATCTTTTGTATTAATCTGGATGGAGGGGAACACATTCTTCTTAATAAAGCATAACAAGAATAGAGAAGCAAGAATCCAATGTACTGTATTCTAATATGAAGACAGTAGATGAGCTAATACAAGGGGGGGCAGATAGGGGAATGAGGGAGAGGAGAGGAGGGATGGGGATCAGGGGGTCTGGTGTATGGCACATATCTTGGGGGTGGAATACAATTATAAGTGGGACTGTACCTAACAAATGCACTCAGTGTAACCAACCTAATTCTTTGTACCCTCAATAAATCCCAAACAATTAAAAAAAAATTCTTATATTTTTTGCATTTTCTCAGACTTTTATAATAGTTATGATTTTTTTAGTATTAAAAAAAATGCTCTTTCCTCTGAAATAAAAGCATCAGGGTTCCCTTTCTCTTTTGCTCTCTGACTCAAGTCCCAGCTCCCAGCCCTAGGCAGGGTCCAATCGGGATGGGCCCCACTTGTGGTTACATTTCCAATCCCTCCTGGCTTGGCTCAACTTGGGGAAGAGTTAGAGTCCCACCCTTGGGTGTGTGGGTTTAAAAAGGATACATTTAGATATGTTAACCACTAGGTGTTTTTGCAACTTTCATTCTGTATTGTAGCAGAAAAACCCCCAAACAGTAAAAAAGAAGTCATTTAAAGCACACCCCAGTCCCAGAGAGGGGCAGCTGACTTCCAACTGGCTCCTGGTCCTGGGGCTCCTGCTGCACCAGGACCTGCTGGTATAGTCTCCAAGTTCATCTCTCTGGGTGAAAACAATTAACTCCAGGGCCCACAGGAGGACAAACCCTCCCAGGAACAAAGAAGACTCATAGCACATTTCTCCAGGCAGTTCCTGACCCAGGAAGCTGTTTAACCAGCCCCGAAGCACTCATTTTCTCACTATGGCCTTTACTCTGGACTTGAAATAGATTTGAACTCACAGTTAACAAAGACCCAGTTTCTATAGACTTGAAGAATGCTTCCCCTGCAGCCAGTTAGAATGCTGGGATGCCATCCACTGGCTGCCCATGTGACTCCAGGCAGAGGCAGCCCAGGAGCCAGGCTTCAGGAAGAAGCAGGAGGTCCTGCTGGATTCAGGGCCTTTAGTGCCCCCCCACCCTGGACGCACATAACCAACTTCCCAGCTGGAGCTCTGCCCAGCCCCTCCCACAGATGGTCACACTCTTCCCAGCACATCAGAACTTTCTGATGGCCTTTCCTATTCAGTAGGGTGAAATCCAAATGTGGCACTAAACTGCCAGTTTCTCAAGCAAATGGCCCCACACATGGGGTGCCCGGCACATGGTACAGGTCCACGGCACTGACTGGCCACCAGAGCCTAGGGTTCACGGTGCTGTATGGGCCCCTCCTCCCCAGCCTCCATCCCCTCCCTGAAAGTGCCTGCTTATTGCCCAGTGTCCTCCTCCCTATCTTTAGGTTCCAGGTCTCAGAACTTCCTCTAGGAAGCCACTGCCCAACTCAGGTAGCTCCAGGCGTGAGCATGGGCTGAATCTGGCTGATTTGGGTTCAGCATTTCCTGGGTCATAAGGTTTGACTCAGGGGTGTGTCACATCACCCACCCAGAGGCCCAAATGGGGCCTTTGCAGGGACTGGGGAGAGGGAGAGAGGGAGGGAGGGAGAGATAGAGAGAGAAACAGAGAGAGAGAGAGAGAGAGAGAGAGAGGAGTCCCTTGCACTACAGACTCTGGGCCTCGGAGAGATGACGCAAAAAGTCTAGCTATCAGTGGAGCCAGCACAGAAGAGGAATAGTCAAGAAAAGGAAGGGAGGAAACTTGGTGCACCGGGTGTTGGACACAGCATTTAGCCCTTGATCAAGCCACAGTTGAAGGAGACCTTCAGTCTTAAGAGCCAATAAATTTCCTTAAGTCGCTTTGGTCAGGTTCTTGTCATTTACAACAAAGAGAGTCAAAGTGGATGGACCTCCGTCCAGGCACTGCAGCCAGACCAGTGTCTTGGTCCCCTTCCTCTCTGCTGCTACTCTATACTGATGGGACCCTCTTTTCCAGGCCTTGGGCAAGGGGCTCTATGCAATCTCTTGACGGCTTTCTGTACAGCTACTCATTCAAATTGATAGCAATATCCTCATCTTAAAGGTGCAAAATCAGAGCATGAGAGTGCACAGGCAGCTGGTGTAGGAGAAAGGGCACCTGCTCAATGCCACTGGTAAGGGTTCCCCTTTCTGCCTAGCAAAAGGAACCCTGCTGGAGTGCTTCTCCAGGCTCCCTCCTGGACTGCCGAACCTTCCCCAGTGCACTGCCCAGTCCACACTCCCCCTGCTTCCTGTCCTGGCAGCAGGCGCAGCCACGGCCCACTCGGGCAGGCCGAGTGGGGCCTGGTAGGGCCTGGTAGCTGGCCCTGTGCCTGGCCTTGGGGTGCAGAAGGGACTGGATGGCTTTGCCCTTCAGATGCCTTTGCCCTTCAGATGCCTTGAGATCTCTTACCCTTAACAAAAGAGTCATTAAAAGGCAAGGACACATTTAACCAAAGGGCTCAGGAGAGGAAATCCTAACGGCTGGATGCTGTTGGCTGTGAGGACTCAACAGAGCCCCACACGAGGCACTGGGTTCCCATGGCAGGTGCACAACAGAGCTGCCATTTTAGTCGGTAAGTGTGACCCAAACACCCACATGGTGCTGACGTCCAGTTGGATTGTTCTAGACAGGAGAAATGTGGTCAAGTGAGCAGAACTGGAGTGGTCTTCTCAGCCTCTGCACTCAGAGGCAACAGGCCCTGTGGAGCGCGGCATCCCCAAAGCTTTCCTGTCCCCATCAAAAGCCAGTGTGCCCCCTCTTGCAAAGCCACTATTGTTGGGGCCTTTGAAGCAATGTGTGTTCTTGACTCTATCCCCATGGTGGCCCCTTGGGGTGGTGACTCTGACACACTGTGGAAAGGCATCTGCAGAGACTCTCATAAAAAATAAACCCGCCCCTCTGCCCCCTACCCCCCACTGCCCCGGCCCGTTCATACCTCCAGTCTTGTCCGGTCCACATCTTTGGGCAGCTTCACACGGAGTCGGTTTGTTACGATGAGGGAATCATAAGGGTAGATCTGTCGGGGAGGAAGCCACAGGGTTACCTCAAGAAGCACATGTGCACTGGCACCAAAGAGCTAAGCAGAATCAACTGGGAATAATACATACTTGCGACTCATCTGACACACACATTTCACAGGGAAAGCACAACAGAAAGGAACTTTTAACCTGGGCAGGCGCGGTGCGGCACGAAGTTCAGAGTAAGAGCACGGGCCCTCTTACCTTGTATTCTGTAAGAGAGAGAGTGGAGACCACGGGCAGTTTAGAAAGTGTAAGAACTCATCTCTAGTAGATGCCATCCCCGCCCTGGGGCTGCCCCATCCCCACCCAACGGTCCAGGCACAGTCTCTTAAGCAGCTGCTCTGGGCTCTACTCTCGGGCTGCAGGGGGTAAGCTCTGAAGGCCTCCCGTGGGAGGCCAAGAGCAGGGCATGGCCAGGCTGGCGGCCAGACTGGAAGCTGGACGGCACTCTGTGCTTCTCGGCTGTGGCACCGTCTGTCCAGTGAAAGATCCCGAGAAAGATGCTGGCCTCAGTTTCCCACCTGCACGGTCCGTACCCCTGGGAAACATTTGGGAGGTGTCGTGGAGACTGACATCCGTGATGGTCTGACCCTCTGGTTTCTCACCCTCGCATCTTCTTACTCTTCACCTCCTCTTTTTATACTTACTCCTCCTTTTATAGGGTGAGCTTTTCACCCTGGCTTTTAAAAAGTTTTCCTTCCAGACTAAAAGCATCTCATTAAATAAATAAAATAGTGCAGATAGGGCCTCCACACACACAGAACCCATAGAAAGCAGGGTCTCCCAAACCTGGGCCCCCAGCCTTCTCAGAAGGGAGACTGTAAGTTGGGGCCAGTCCTCAAGTTTCACATGCCACAGGAGAACCCAGATGTGCTGACTCTGAGGCCTGGAGACTTGGAAAGCCACTTAGAAGGAGCAGGCTGCAGTGCCTAGGCGGTCCATCGTCTATGTGCGAACCAGTTCACAAGGGCCAGGCTCCCTCATCACTGGCCAGAGTGACACGGAGGTGCGCTCGGCCTTCTGCCAGGCATTAGCGCATGACCAGGAGGCCACTCTGGTTACACCAACCTCCCAGCGGTCCTCCACTGTGGGTAAGCTGCCGCATGGCCAGCAAGAGTAGAGGCGGAGTCTGAGCCAGCTCCCTACCACTCAAACTGGGAAGCCTTTTGTTTGTGAGTCAGTTTCCCCAAGTGACACAGACTGTCACAAGTCAGGAGGAGAAGCATCCCGGCAGTGCTGGAGCAGAGGTCAGTTGCCCCTTGCCTGGCAGAGGTGGGAAAGGAGCGCTCTCTCCCCTGGCTGCCCCTTCCTGCCATGCTGTGCCTTCTGCCAGCAGGTCCTGGCAGGGGGTGGTGGCAGTAGTCAGAATGAGACTTGTGGAAATTTCTTAGCCACCCCTGCCCAGGCCAGAGACCCATGGGGGTCCCCGCTCTGTGTACCTCGCATGCCCCAGCTGGCATCCGGGTCTGCTCCACACGGGGCCAGGTTGGCATTCTGGAAGAGAAAGAGAGATTGGGCGGCAAGAGGCAGGTGGAGGAAGGTGGGCAGACAGGGGCCAGGAGATGATCCTTCCTCGTGGCCTTGGTCCTGGCTCAGACTGGGAAGGAGGGTGTCCACCAGAGCGCAGCAACGGGGCACAGGCAACAGAGGGACGGCGGCAGCAGGGCTTGGAAAGGGAGTGTCCAGGACGCCTGCACCTATGGGACTTCTGGCTTTCATGCTTGGTGGGTTTGCTCATCAAACGCCTGCCACAGGGAGGCCTTCACGAACCCTGTCAACTCTGACTCCTTTGGTAGCCACGCCCGGGTACCTGGGTCCCTTGCTCTGCAGCTGATGTTATTGACAGCGGCAGCTCATGCAGCACTAGGCACAGTGCTTTGTGAACACCAGCTGGTGATCTGAGGGCTCCTGTCCCCCTCATGGTGGGCTCCTGAGTTTAGCTCCTAGAACCCACTGTGCCCAGGTGCTCAGGGAGGCCCTGGCTCCACCCTGGGCCATCTGTCTCCTGCAAGATGCCACAGGAGAAGCATGGGCCACCATCTCCTGGACCAGGCCCTATCTCATGGGAAGGCTACTCAGTCCCAGAGAGGCAATGATGCAGTAGAGACGCACGCAGCTGTGTGTGCAAGTCAACATCCATCCACCCCAGGAAATTGTGGCACTGACAGCAGCTCTATGTGTGGCTGTTTTGAGAATTAAAGGAGCCCAGTGTCTGTAAAGTCCTGGTGCAAAGCCTGGGGTATTGTGAGCACCCCCTACAGAATGGCCATGCCTCTGACAATGACACAGGAGAGGTGGCATTCCTGGAGACATAGCACTGAGGGTCCCCCAGCCCTGTCTCAGATGCCATGGAATTTGCCCACACACTCCGTATCAGGGCATTGTGATACTAATTGTGCCATTAATACCTGGAGTTCCCTTTCTCCACTGCCCACCTGGAAACATCATCCACACATCCTGCAAACATCTTTGCAGGGTCTGCCGGCCCCCGCTGTAAGACATGCATCCAGCTGCTGCAGCAGTTAGTCAATCCCGCTCCTGTTCCACCCTGCCCCATGCTGGCACCTGGTGTTTGCATCATGAGCCACACTGTTGTGGTGGTCAGGTGGCTGGTGACAGCAGACAGACCCCCTTAAAAAAATATATTATTTATTCCCAGGACTGGGATCCCTAGCACCTGCTACAGGGTCTGAAATGGGGTCAGGGCTCCTGGCCAGCACTTCTGAAATTGGGTACAGGGATTAAATTGCAATGGAGAGAGTTCTGCAGCCAAAGGGGAGATTGTGTGCTCCACCAATGGGTCTGTTACACAAGGAGGTGCTTTGGCCCTGGCACTGCACTAGCGGGTGAGTGAAGCACCCATTATAGTCCAGAGAGCACAGGAGCAGAAGACCTCAGAGAGCATGGAGACAAACCCGTCCATCTGAAACGGGGACACTGAGGCTCAGAGAGAGGCCAGACCTTCCTTTTGTCTTGAAGCTGAACTCACCAGGCTGGGACCACGCTCATGAGTGGGGTAAGTTTATGAGCCAAGTGTTGGAACTTTAACTTTTTTTTTCTTTAAATAGTATCACTCTGTCACCCAGGCTAGAGTGCAGTGGTGTCATCATAGTTCACAGTAACCTCAAACTTCTGGGCTCAAGAAATTGTCCTGCCCCAGGCCCTCGAGTAGCTGAGACTGCAGGCGTTCACAACAATACCACTAGTTTTCCTATTGTTTAGTAGAGACAGGGTCTCACTCTTGCCAGGCTGGTCTCAAACTCCTGACCTCAAACAATCCTCCCACTTCAGTCTCCCAGGATGCTAGGATTACAGGCATGAGGCACCGTTCCCAGGCTAAATTTTTGATATTTTGTTCATCATGGAAGTTTTTGGCATTAATTCAGATTTCTAACAATATTGCATTGAAGTGTCTTGATGACAGTGTTTTGGTTAGCACTTCACTGGCCTTATCCAGATCCTGAGATGGGGTCCTCTTATGGGCTCTTGCCTCTGCCACTTCACAAAATAACTCTTGGGAGTTTGCAAGAAAAGTTTTGAGACATTTTCTCAGTCTCAGATGAGCACCCCCAGGTGCACCTGTCTGTGCGAGTGGCAGCCCTGTCTGCCTGGCCTCTCTGATGGGAAGAGAAATACTGCCCCCTGGTGCTGTAGGTCTGAATCACAAGCTGCCAAAACTCCTGGGCCACCTTGGATGGTTGGAAACTTCCCAGCAGCAAAACTAGCTTCCTCTGGTGTTCCTTGCTCTTAGACAAGAGGAAGACTCCAGGAGGGAGAGGAGACATCTTCCAGATGGAGGAGGGAAACAGATAAGACCAGAGCAGGGAAAAACTTCAAAGTGGGGACGGGGGTCTGACTGTCTCAGTGTGTGGGCTGGCAGGTGGGCCAAGAGGACAGGGGGACACCTTAAGGCAGCACCACCAGGCCTATTCCAGACCTATCCCTATAGGTCTCAGTGGAGGCACCAGAGATTTTTAAAGCAACAAATTATTCACCTGTCCATTTGTCTGGCACTTAGCACATGCTGCTGCTCTATAATACGTTCCCTAATCTTCTTGGCAATCCTGGGAGGTGGGCACTATTGTCACCATTTTACAGATGAGGCTCAGAAAAGTTAAGCAACTTACCCCCAAAATACATGGGACTGTAAAAATTGGAGCCCATGTGTTTAATTTTCCAAAAATTATACTGAGATTGCTAACTGGAATTAAGATTGTGGCGGTTTGCCACTGGCCGCCATTATTTCCTTGCTAAAGCCCATACTGTAATGTAACATCTTACTCAGCAGCCACTGGAGGAACATGAGGGGCAGTGGGACTTGATTTTTAGATCACTCATATGGGAACCTTGCTACAGAGCCTATAAAAAGATTTTACAGTCCTAATGCTATGTTTCCTCAAAGCAACCTCAGGAGGTAAGGATCATTTTTTTCTTAAAAACTATGAAACAAAGACTCAGAAAATGTAAGTAATTTGCCCAAAGACAGGGCTGGAATTTAAATGCACATGTACTCTTTCCAGCACTACAATTTGGAAGTATCAAATTTCTATAATTAAAGTTTTCTTTGTAGTCACACACATAATAAACACTTTTATAAATGTTTTATAAACATGTGAAAAACTGATTCAAAAGACACAATTCTTTTCATATACCTATTAAAGTTTGCTGTTTGCCATATTCAATTACTCTATGTACCTTTTGGTTATTTTTTGATCCATATGTCTTATTCAAGAGTCATATTCAAATCACCTGCCATACTTGTACTTTCTCCCGGGGTCTGACATTGCCATGTTGCTTTTCTGTTTATGAATGCTAAGACTGCTTTATTAACTTATGTCTTTTGGGTAAATTAGTCCCCTCTTTATACTATTAATTCTATTTAAATGTCTTCTAACTTTAGCTTTTACCTTATCTGATATTAATATTACACTTCTTGCTTGCCTTATATTTGTGATTTTAGTATCTCTTTTTTTGTTTTTGTTTTTTTAGGAGACAGCCTGTTGCCCAGGCCGGTCTTGAACTCCAGTGATCTTCCTACCTCACCTGTCCAAGTTGCTGGGACTACAGGTATGTGCTGCTGAGCCTGGCTGATTTTAGTATCTCTTTCTCATTCTTTTACTTCTTTTTTTTTTTTTTTTTTGAGACAGAGCCTCAAGCTGTCCCCCTGGGTAGAGTGCTGTGGCATAGCTCACAGCAACCTCCAACTCCTGGGCTCAAGTGAGTCTCCTGCCTCTGCCTCCCAAGTTGCTGGGACCACAGGTGCCCGCCACAATGCCTGGCTATTTTTTTTCAGTTGCAGCCATCATTGTTGTTTGGCGGGCCTGGGCTGGATTTGAACCCATTGCCTTAGGTGTACGTGGCTGGCGCCTTAGCCACTTGAGCCACAGGTGCCGAGCCATCACTCTTTTACTTCTAATCATTTTAAAAATAATTTTTGAGTTAAAAAAATCCAATCAGTCCCTTTGCATTCAGCATCAGGCTTTTTCAAAACAGGACTCCTTCCAGGGAGCTACCACAGGGATCTGCTGCTGGCCAGTGAGCCAGCCCTTAATAGCAAACAGGTGGCACATGCCAGCATCATTACACCTCATCCACAGGGACACCTGCAGCAGGTGGCTGTTACCTTGTTCTCTTCATGGGTAGGTTGTGAGCACCTGCCAAGTGTCAGGCACTGTGGCAGCCTTGGTTATCAGGATATTTTAATGACCTGTGGAACATATGGTGCAGGGTCATGGGACCCTTATAACAAAATCCTCTTGGAGCAAGACTCAGGAAAATCTTTGCCTCCCCAGATTTCCCTTCTCCCATGGGAGAGGTAGAACTGCATGGCTGGGCGTGGCTGCCTCTACACCTTGGCTTGGAGCTAAACTTGGACAGCTTTTCTCACATAATATTCTTTTGTTTCTGATGTGATTTTCTCCTGTAGTTTCTTCCCCTCTGCCTTTGCGACTGGTGTTATTGGCATTTTGTTCTCCCTCCCTGTGTCACTTTGGGGTGCCCGGAATCCCTTCTGAAAGTAAAAACACACCAAGAAACAACCTAACATCTGACTTCAGAGCACCTCAGGACACCATCAACAATGTACGGACAAGCACTGCCGGGGCCTGCCAGGGTGAGGGCAAGCATCCGGGTGCTGGGCATAGCTGCCCGGAGAAGACTGGGCACCTGAAAGATCCTGGAAAAACAGGCATAAAAGTACAAAAAAGGCTTAAGAAGAGTAAAAAAACTTGGAAAGAATGTTAGCTGGGAAAAAAATAATCACCGTCTCCCACACCAAGCAATGTGAAAGCCAAACATCTTCATGGGATGATGAACTCTGTCTCTATGGGCTCTCCGAGGGTTGGCAGAGGGTGTACCAGCCCTCTGACACTCTCCTTCTACCCTTTACGCTGCAGGACAAACACATTCATAGAGGGTTTAGTTCTTAATTCCACGAGGCTTAGGAGTCTGCTCTCAATAGTTCTGGGGGAATGAGATGAAGACTGTCCCTGCCAGGATGATCTGGGTCAGCAGTTCTCAAACTCCTGGGCGATGGAGTGTCTGGGAACCATGACCTTCTCTGCAGATGCGGGAGGCTTTAATCAGCATCATTTTTAGCACATTAATGACAAAAGAAAATTCCTAGAGGATGCACAGCCCAGGCATCAATGACACAGGACTAAGAAGGAAGAGAATGCCTTTCTTTTGCTCTTCCTCAGCATATTGGAAAAGGCTCAGGACCTGGCTGGGCAGTTAGAACACCTTGCCTTGGTCCAGACTGTGAATGCTGTGCTCACTGGCCCCAGGGTTAGAGAACAGCTGTTCCAGGTAGAAGAGAACATTCCCACTGCCCAGGACCCCTGACAGTGACCTTAGGGACATCAGGGGTCCTGGGGACACTGGCCCAGCTTTCTTGACCCCTTTGCTTTCCCTGTGGAGGATGAAAGGCAGAGAAATCCTTTGAAGAAAATTCAAAGCAGCATGCCACGTGTGTTCCCCAACTGGCCCATTCCGGAATGGGAGGAGTGGTTAGTGGGTGGGGTGGGGGGTGGGGTTCACTAGATTCAAACCATGCAGAGGTGCACAGGCTAGGGGAACTCCCAGGTGGCTGGCCCTAGGACAAGAGCCCAGCAGCAGGTCTGACAGGGTCTGAAGAAGACAGAGAACGAATGCTGGCCTGAGAGGACGCCCCTCGGCTCCTGGAAACAGAGTCCTGTGGCCTTGATCTTGAGGACAGGATGCCCCTAGGGAAGCTGCCACTGGGTTACATACTCATTGCCAGGACTGCTCTGGTGCAACAAATGGGGAATTCTTGGGAGAAGTAAATTGCCTTCATGTACAGACCAATTTTCTCAGACTGGGCAGAGGCTAAAGAGACTCCCAGGCTGTGTGTGTATGTGCACGTGTGTGTGTGTGTGTGTGTGTGTGTGTGTGCACATGTATACGTCAGGGTTCTGGTACCATCAGGCCCTCCCTACCCTGGGGATCCTCACTAGAGACCTAGACACGCTGTGGGAGAGAGAGGCAAATGAGTCACTCTTCATGGGGGCGAAGTGCCCCAGGGTACTCCACGAGCCCAAGCAAGCAAAGTACCCACTTGTTTGCCTGAAATGCCACTGGTCTCTCTGCAGGGACAGTCAGGCACCAAACAATCTGGGCTCATACTTAGATGTCCCAAGATTTGGAATACTCAGGGCAGGGGATCAAACCAGTCTTCAGCTGGAGTGGCCAAAGAAAGCGTAATTGGGAGCTGATCTGGTCTCTGTGCTGTCTCCCATGATAACCTTGGGTGCTCAGGATGGTCACCGTACAGTGCTGGAGAGCTTACGGCACTCCAGGTAAGGGAGTGCATGTCTGGCTCCCACTGCCTGGTGAAATATAATAACCTTTAATAGTCCCTTTCAGGCTCTGTAGCCCAGGAGTGGGTCAGGAGGGGCTTTTAGAGCTGTGGCTGGTCACTCTGGATGGTCCCCTTCCTTCCCCTGGGGAGGAAGGGTGGAGCCCAGGTCTGGTTTGATCCTGGTATGGAAAAAGTGGTGGTGACAGTGGCAGCCTCCAGCAGTGTCGGGCAGAAGCAGACGGGGCAGGGTCCCAGGGCTCTCCTACTTTTGTGTGGTCGGGAAGCTGTGGGAAGCGTGCTCAGACTCACAGCCACTGTTAGTACGCCGCAGGCCAGGAAGGGGCAGGTACCTACCCAGTGGTCCAAGCCATTCTTTCCGTGTCCTGGGAGAGAGTCAGATTTGGAATAGGGGGGTCCTGAAACAGACACAGCACAGCTTTGTCACGCGCGCATATGAGAGGCAGCAAGGAGGGGTGTAGCCCAGCGTGGGCTGCTGCCAAGGTGTTCAGGTGACTTGAAGGAGACCCCCAAGGATCAAGACCTGCCTCCTTTGTGTCCTCCTGTCCCTGGGGCACCAAATAAGAATCCAGGGAGGGGGACTGCCTCAAGCCTGCCCATGACACTAGGAGCTCTATGAGGCCTGAACCACAGCTCCACTGGCCCATGTGTGCATGGACAGGCTGGGGCCTGGACACTACCTGGGACCTGAGCCAAGTCCCTCATTTTGCAGTTCAGGAAAGCTGAGGGCAGAGTACGACAGGGCACCACCAGTCTTGGCACCCCATGGGATAGGTAGGGCCAGAGGGAACAGGAGGCTCCCACCAACCAAATGGGCCTGGAGACAATTTTATTTTTAGGAAAATTTTGAGGGGTGTGCAGTTGGGGGATTTCATATTATAGCCCTAACATCCAGCTTCTCCTCTGTCAGGTGGTCTGGCCCTTCCTGCCCCGGCCTATCCATCTCTCAGTCCCTGGGTTAGCGTGGGAGTTTGAGACCTCCCAGTTAATCTCTTCAGTGCCGTGTTGGGGGGAAAGCAGAGAGGAAGCTCTGACCTTCTGCCCTGAACACCTGCCTGGCTGAGCGGTGGTATGAGCGCATTCACTCCAGAAGAGAAGCAAATGGCAGAGACAGGCCCCTGGAGGCACCAGGACCCCTGCGCTTAGGACACCAATCCTAGGTCCCTCAATAGCTGTCTTTCCACTGGCCTTTGGACACTTAAAGTACAGAGGTCATATCCGCTTCATCTGAGGGTGCCCACCCCAGCACTGGGCCCGACTCCCAGCACTGCAGGCCAACCATGCATAAGGCCAAATGTCAGTGCTTGCTCCTGGGAGCCACCAGGCTGCCTCACAGGGCCTGAGGGGGTCAGAAAGGGTCCTCCAGATATGTGGCTTGGCCAACTCCTCTCACTTTACAGAACGGGATCGAGGCCCAAAGACATGCAGGCCCTTGCCTGGGGTCACCTAGCTAGCAAGGGGGACCCCAGGGTGTCAGACCAGTCCTCCTGACTCGTACTCCTGAATAATGGTTCTCAACCTTCCTAATGCCACGACCCTTTAATACAGTTCCTCATGTCCTGGTGACCTCCAACCATAACAGTATTTTCGTTGCTACTTCATAACTAATTTTGCTACTGTTATGGATCGTAATGTAAATACTTGATATGCAGGATGTATTTTCATTGTTATAAAGGGGTCGCAACCCACAGGTTGAGAACCGCTGCTCTAGGAAATGCTTGTTTCCCAACTGGTGCTCAGAACCAGGCCTACTCTGGGATCCCAGAGACCCAGGAGCTCCTCCTCAGCCTGAGATATTAGAGCAGTGGTTCCCAAAGTGAGATCTCTGACTGGTAGCATCAGCCTCACCAGAGAACTTGTTAGAAATGTAAACTCTTAGGCCCTATCCCAGGTCTACTGCATCAGAATTCTGGGGCTGGGGTCCAGTGATCTGTGTTTTCACAAGACACACTAAGGTCTGGAAACACTTTCCTTCTGGCCTCAGGGACAGCAAATGTCCTCAACTATATCCTTTCTCCACTTTTAAGCCAGTGGGTCTCCCCCTGGTTGCACAATGCAATCACCTGAGCAGCTTGCAAAATCCAGCACCTGGGCTGCGGTCTATTGGTCTCAACATTTAGCCACTTCACATGCAGTGCAGAAGCCACCTTACTTTCATCAAGGTCGCTTTGCCATCCCTGCATTTTAATTACAAGGGTCTTAGCTGTTTCTTCTACACACTTTGAGCACCTATATCAGACCATCAAATACGATTTGAGAAACTCAGGAAGAGATAACCTGTTATATTTTATCCCCATTTTTACCTATTCTGATGCCCCTTCCTTTCTGAAGCTGAGAGCTCCTCTCTTTTCTTTTCTTTTCTTTCTTTTTCTTTTCTTTTCTTTTTTTTTTTTTTTGAGACTATGTCACTCTCGGTAGAGTGCCATGGCATCACAGCTCACAGCAACCTCAAACTCTTAGGCTTAAGTGATTCTCCTGCCTCAGCCTCTCGAGTAGCTGGGACTACAGGCGCCCGCCTTAATACCCAGCTATTTCTGTTGTTGTCGTTGTTGCAGTTGTCATTGTTGTTTAGCAGGCTTGGGTCAGATTCAAACCCACCAGCCCTGGTGTAGGTGGCCAGCGCCCTAACCTCTGAGCTGCAGGTGCTGAGCCAGAGTCCCTTTCTTTTGTCATTTCCTTTCTGTTTGGAGAACATCCTTCAGCTACTCTTTAAGGCAGGTCTGCTAGTGGCAAATTCTCTTGGCTTTCCTTTGTCTGGGAATGTCTTTATTTCTGTCTCATTCCTAGAGGATATTTCCACACAGACAGTTCTTTTCTTTCAGCACAGAAACAGTGTGGTGCCACTTCTTTGGGTCTCCACGGTTTCTGATGAGAAACCTGCTGTCATTCAAATTGGTGTTACCCCTAAAGATAATAAGTCTTTTCTCTTTGGCTGCTTTCAAGATTTTTTCCTGTGTCATTAATTTTCAGAAGGTTAATTATGATGTGTCTTGTGTGGATTTTTTGTGTTTCACTTCAATTCCCAGGGATTCATTCCGTTTCTTGACTTGGAGGTTTACACCTTCTGCCAAAGCCTGATCAAGAGTGAGACCTCAACTCATTAAAAAAAAAAAAAAATTCAACCAAGTGCCCCAGCGAGCACCTGTAATCCCAGTGGCTTCCGGAGGCTGAGGCAGTGGGACGCCCACAGCCTAAGTCTGAGGTTGCAGGGAGCTATGATGCCATTGCACTCTGCTCAGGGCATAGGGTAGGACTCTGCCTCAACAACAACAACAACAACAACAAAAGCAAATAAATAAAAATAAAAAATAAACAAGGAAATAAAAATATAATTTTCAGCCATTATTTTTTTAAATGCTTTTTGAAATCCATTCTCTTTCTGCTCTCCTTCTGGGAGTTCAGTAAAATAAATACTGGCCCATAGGTCCCTGAAGCTCTGTTGATTTTTTTTCTATTTTTCTCTGTTGTCCAGATTTGATAATTTCTCTTGTTCTATGTTACAGTTCATTGATTCTCCCCTCTATCATATATGGCTTTTCTGCTATTGAATCCCTCCAGAGAATTTTTTTGTTTTGGTTGTATTATTTTTTAGTTCCATAATTTTCATTTGATCCTTTAAAAAAATAACTTCTATATCTTTGGTGAGAACTTTTTCTTTTTTTGTTGCTTCAAAAATATTTCTTATTGCTCATTGAAGCATGTTTATTATGGATGACTTAAAATCCTTGTCAGATCATTCTGACTTCTGATTCTTCCCTGTGTTGTATTTGTTGACTGTCTTTCCTCATTCATATAGTTTAACTTCATGGTTCTTGGTGATGAGTAATTTTTCTATTATGTGCTGGACATTTGGATTTTATGCTAGGAGAATAAATTGTTTCCCCATGCCTGAGCTCAGCCCAAACAGGGTCCCCTGTCATCCCCTCTCAGAAACCCATCCATGCCTGCCTTGTCCTGGGTTCCCTGCTGGGACTGCTGTGGGGGCCCTGAGAGTGTTCTCCTGGGGTCTGTTGCCCTCCAGTCTGGCTCATGGGAGGTCAGAGCATCCTCTGGACATTTAAGGTGAGGCATCTTGTTGGTGGAGAACTGTTACATGCAACAAGAGACACATGGCTCACCATGGCGCCCTGGGATGCCACCCCCTGGGGACGCTACCACGTCCCCAGTGCGTGGACAGACGGATGACTTTGCAGCCAGGTGGCCTATGCAGGGTTGGGGCCTTTCTTGGAATTTCAGTGTCCCTGTCTGAGGAAGGAAGGGGGCTGGAACTACCTTCACCTTCAAACCTGAGTTGACCAACAGCAACAGCGAATAAGAGGCCTCTTAAATGGCCAGTCTCGAGTCCTCCTAAGGGCCAACAAGGTGCTATATGACCTGCCACATAGGTCATCTCACTATTTCTCCAACATGCCACCATGACTCTACCCTGGGTGGGAGAAGCACCTGCCTCCCAAATTTTGACACTGCTAACCCCTTTGGCTATACCCCTTTCGAGCTCTGCCAGATACTGTCTCCCTCCCTGGCTACTTACTGTGTCTAAACACCATCTCCCTGCACAACACCAGCATCACTCAAACTTGCCTGTGTCTCTCTCCCCTCACTGGAATGTCAGGTCCATGGGGTAGGGAATCTTGTCTATTGTGACGCTGTCCCTAACTCATGAAATACAGATGCTCCTAAACCTGCCATGGAGTTACATCCCATAAACCCCTTGTAAGTTGAAAATATAAGTTAAAAACACATTTAATAGACCCAAGCTATAGAACATCAAGGCTTAGCCCAGCTCAGCCCAGCCTACCTGAAATGTGCTCAGAGCACTCACATTGCCTAGTTGTAGCTAGGCAAAACTGTCCAACACAAGCAGAGTGTAATTTACTGAAGACTCTGGAAAGTGAGCAGCAGAATGGCTGTGTGGGTGCTCAAAGCATGGTTGATGGTTTCCACTGAATGCATATCACCATTATTCCATCATAAAGTCAAAAAAATCACAAAGTGGGACCACTGCGAGAGGGGCTCCATCTGCGTTTGGTGACTGACTGGGTGGCTCATTCCCTCTCTGGGCCTTGTGTTACCTGCTGTGAAATGAGGAGACGGTGCCCCTAACCAGATGTTTGCCAGTCCCATCAGTCTCTCATGACAGATCAGGGAGTCTCTCTCTTTCAGCCATGGACTCAGAAATAGGACCAGTGATTTTTTTTCCCCACCTTTGAAAAATGAAGAAGTAAAAGGGGAAAAGAGAAAGGCCCTTTCTGAGCCAGGCCCTGACCTTCTTCCCCACTGTGAGTGGGAAAAGAAACCCCAGGACAGAGGGGCCGTCTGCAAAGCCTCCCTTCTGATGGGCCTCGAAACCAGGCCCTGGGCAGGGGTGGGGGTGGGGCAGACAAACATGTCCTATCAGACAGGACTCCACAGGGGGCCCTCACAAAGGAGGGGATACACAGAAGGGGACATGAAATGCTAAAGCCACAGGCAGGTTTGGAGGCCAAGCAGCCCACACACTGGGACCACCTTCTGCTGCCTCAGGTGCTAAGTCAGAGCTTCTCTTGCCCCATCTCCAAGCTGGTCCCACCCCTCTCAGCTGCCACCCTCCCACCTCCCCATGTTGATTTCATGTGCTGGGATTTGGAAGGGTGGGTCCTTTCTAGGGACCACTGAGTCCTCTGGGCACTGTTTCCAGCTGGCCAGGGGGGTTGTTATTATGCTGATACAACTCTGACTCCTGGGGGTGGGATGCGGGGGAACCTCAAAAGAGAGGACAGGACTCAAGGGTTAACAATGTGGGACCCTAAGCACCAGGAGGCCTGTCCACAGGGTTCAGGAGGGGCAGGGGTCAGTGAGCCCCACCCTGTAAGGCTCAAGGCCCTCTTCATGTAACAAAAATCAGCACCACCCCCTCCTGTGCAGAAGTCAAGTTTATCAGTGACAAAAGCTACTCCACACACAGTCCAGATAATGTCCCATGTGTAATGGAAAAGGAAACTGGAAGTCATCTATAATAAATATATATTTCAAACTAAATCCCTCAGGGCGGGGGGCAGTGCTTGCTGAGAACGACTGGAGTATGGCATAGGGATGCCCCACTGGTTTGTCACTGCTGTTTAATCTGGCTTCCCTGCTGGAAATAGGGACTGGCCAAGTCCACAGCTGGCTCTCTGCTACCTGGCACCATCCCCAGCACATAATAGGTGCTCAGTATTTGGTGGAGGGATGGATGAATGACTGAATGATGCACTCAGTACTGTGAGATGTGCTGATGGCGTCATGGATGGGATGAGGCTGTGACCAGGCCCTCGTGGGTCTGAGGGGGTGTCCAGGTGGGCAGGGACAGGATGCTTGTGGGTGCACTCCATCAGCGTCTCTGCCTCTCCCAGCTCCCTGCACACTTCTCCAGCTCAGGGGCTGCTCTCCACTTCTCTGTCCCCCTTAGTGCCCCACTTAGTGTCTGGCACAGAGTGGGTGCTCAATAAATACCCGTTGAATTTAATGTACATCAATTCAACAGACATTTATTGGGTGCCCACTGTGTTGAGTGTCACAATTCTACATTCCTTGAACTACAGATTGACATGCCAGGGGTTCAGGGGAATGCGCCTTGCTGTGCGTGAACCCTCCGCCCAGTAAAGGTTGTGCACAGGTGGAGCAGGACTCAAGACTGGGGACTGCTCGGTGAGATTCCAAAGAGCTGGGAGAGCAGGGTGTGGATCACTCTGGACCATATTGCTACCCTTCTTGCTCTAGTTCTTGCGAGGCTGGCACACAGCAAGGCTCGGCTGGGCCAGGCACTACCAGCATCCTGGGCCCTCCCTGCCATTTCTGCACATGTTGGGAGCAAGGTCACGTTGTCAGGACAGAAATAAAGACACAGTTATAACAGACACCGTGGTTTCCTGCTCAGAGGAGCCAACGTCAGAACACCAGGAAAAGGTGAGGGAGGAACAGAAGCACAAGCACCTTTGAAGAAGGGACGCAGGGCACTGTCAAGGGCTTTCCCAGTGAAGTCGCGGATCCCAGTGCAGGCAGCTGGGTCCCTGCAGACCAGGCGAGCCCAGGATGGAAGCAGCCCCATTCCCACCTGTGTCCACATGGCAAGAGGTGGTGGTGGCAAACAAGTCCTTGCAGCACTGTGACCGGGCAGTAGAGGCATGTGGCATGGCCTCCAGGCCTCTCCTGCCACCTGCCAGGCCAGGCTAATGTCCCCTGAGGCAGCCCATGGTGCCCTCATTCTGGCACTTCCAGATGAGCGGTCACACACATGTCAGGGCAGAAGCCAAGCCTGAGGGCAGCGGTTTCCAGCCCAGCCTTCCACACTGTGCCCCTTTTCCCTCAGCCCTGAGCCATGGCAGGCCACAACATCCATGAGTCTAGGGGAGGTTATCAGCACGGCCCCAGACTTGTGGACAAGGCCTTCCCGCCACCCAGCAAGGGAGGACTAAAAGCTGGAAATGCCACTGTGAGATTCCCCAAACAGCCTTTCTTAGTTCCCAGGGCTAAAGCCCCAATGCCAGGACCCTGAGCAAGGGGTGTGGGCTGCCGGGGAGGCCACTGAGCTGGTTCTAGAGGAACTTCCCCACTTCCAATAACAGTGCCCTGAGGAACAAGTGGATGAGGAACAGAAAGACCCACAGTCAGGCTCAGAGCCTCTGGCCGCAGGCAAGCACGGCTCCAGTGAGGGGTAGCAGGTGCCTGTGGGCACAGAAAGGGACTGGAGAATGGGTGTATGGCTTCCAGGTCCCTCCAGGTGGGCATGCCACCATCATAGATATGTCCCTCTCCCTCTGGGACTTTTTTAGGGGTGGTGGCCTTGCCGGGCTGACCTCAGCCTGGTGCCACCTCTATAGTCCCGATATGAAGCTGCACTTTGAGCAGGGGCAGAGGGTGAGGGATGGAGACATGAGGGGCGTACAGACACTGACACCTGCTCACAAAGATCATACACAAGACAATACACCTTTCTTTGCTTAAAGTTATTCTTTAACACATTCTAATTTCCAAGGGTCTATGTTTTCACTCTGTCCTCTCATATGGAAACACTTCAGCTTTCATCCCTAACACGGTGTACAGCTTCCAGTCATGAAGATGAGGATGGTGGTGACAGTTTCTGTTTACTGAGCACCCACTAAGGGCCAGGCAAAGTGGTACACACACACATGGTTTGAGTCTGTTAATGACCTAGCCAGGAAGCCGGACGGAACTGGCCTGTGGTCACATGGCTGGTCAGTGGCGAGCTCAGATTTAAACTCGGTGCTTCTCACTGCAAAGCCAGGATCTCTCCCTCCCCTGCTTCTTCCCACCCCCATCCCCTCCTCTTTCCCCTGGCCCAGCATAGCCTTGCCCCAAAGTCTACTTCCAAGAGAAACTGAGTGAGTTTGACTGTCGCCTGCTGCTGGTTTTCACCTATGATTTATAGCATCTTGAAGCAAGCCACATTATCTGGAGTTTTCTCTGCACTTGAAAATCACTCCCGATTCAGTCTTTACGAGCCCCCTACAGTCAAGCCGACAGCACCTTCATCTCCCTGCAAAGTCCAAGGCCATCACGTCTCTGGCTGCCCAGTACATTGTCCGGGACATCATGGGAGACAGGGACAATGCTGTGCCATCAACTCCAAGTCTGGATTTGCCCGCCTGGACCATGCCCACATGTGCTCTGGAGGGAAACAGGCCGAGCTTTCCACCCAGCAGCCCGGGAATATGTGTTTCCTAGGCCCACCTGGGAGCCCAGGCCCGCTTCCCGAGAGTCACAGGGGGAGATAGGGAGGTGTGGCCGCCAGCAGCACGCCAGCTATGTGACGGCAGTCACAGGAAGTCAGCATGTGGTGACAGGCCCCGCCCTTATGTCTGGTTTGCCCTGTTGATGTACGAGGCTTAGGTTTGGGGGACCACTCAGCTGCGGGGCCCTCTCACTGCAAGGCTTTTTGTGCACATTGCACCTCCTGCTCAAAAGAACCACTCACGTGAGTGAAAGCTGTCCCCTGGCCCTCTTTGGAGGAGGTCTCTGTCAGTCCCGCTGCTGTGAGATAAAGACTGGCTGTCCAGGTCTGGAGAGTTGGTCCTCGTGTCCGCATCCCCCTTGAGAATCAGCCAGCTGGTCTTCTGCTGAAGAAAAAAAGTCACCTAAAGTTCAAGGCCAACTGCAGTGGTGGAAACATCTCATCAGAACCTCCTATGGCTTCCTTACTTCTAACCTAAAAGCTGACCCCACCACGAGAAAACTCAAAGTGACAAACCAGCTTTCAGTGAAAATCCCACCACTTCATGGGACCTATCGAGCTGCTCTAAGACACAGGAAGCACATGGGGAACTGTGTTCCTCAGGTGACAGGCAGGGCAAGGGAGGCTGGGGGAGGTCAGAGGCTCACACGGCTTCACAGGTGGAGAAAGAACCAGGTGAGGCTGCCCAGGCTCTGACCACACACAAATCTGCCTTCCTGAACCACAAGAGCAGGGAGGGAGGGAGGGCGAACTCAGCCCATGGGCCAAATCCTGCCCACTGTCTGCTTTTGTAATTACAGTGTTACTGGGACACGGATACGCGAATTCATGCAGCATCTCCCCAGCTGCTTTCCCAGAGCTGAGCAGGTGTGTCAGACCCTGTGTGGCCTGCACAGCTGGAAGTATTTACTCTTCACCAACTTGAATCATACCAAATGCCCCGATAATGTGCATGGGCTCACTGCCTGTTGGTTGTACGCATCTCCCCAGTTCCAGAACCATAACTGAATCACACGGCTGTATAACTGGGACTTCAACCTCCACGTGTAACTGGAGGAAACTGGTGGTGGAGGGGGCAGACAGCACAATGCAAGGGAAGGATCCTGACATTTCAGCGGGAGGAGCCCTCACAAAACTGAACTTCTTTCGGATCAAAGCTGTGCTTGATGAGGTCAGCTTCCTGCATTACCTTCCTGTTATCCTGGTCGAAACTTCCGTCCTCCCCATCTAATCGCCTCGTGGCTGGAAGGGAAAGATCAATTTGTAAAGGCAACACACTATTTATTTTAGGTTTCTGAGTCTCAATTTCCCACTTTACAGTTATATTCAAAAATGAGAAAACAATCAAAGAAAAGGCCAACAGTACAAGTGGCTTTCTAGGGTTCAGGACCAGGCAGAGTGGAGGAGACTGGCTTGGGGGGTGCCCTTGGGCAGGAAAAGCTTGAGAATCAGCAGCAGGTGTGTGAAGTGATGCCTAATTTCCATTCTAACCAAATAGCCACACAGAGAAGTACAGTCATGTTTTTAGATAGAGAACACAGATTTAAAGACATTCCCAGTTGAGCTTTGAAGCAGCAGAAGGCCTCAGCCATGGAGGCCCTGCATTTGGACCGGGCCAGGTGCTCTGTGAGCATCACTGCCTGCTCCCACCCAAGTCTGCAGGAGGGGGCATCCCCTATTTCTCTGATCGGGAGACCTAGGCTCAGGGAGATGGCACACCTCACCCAAGGCCACCGGCTCGAGGGCAGCAGGGGCTGACACGACCCAGGCGAGTCCAACGTCCTTCCTGTCTGCCTCATCTCACTCCTTGCTACTGGCAAAACCCAAGGGGGTGAGGGGGCTCTGCCACTGGGAATAGCCCCAGGTGGGGAGCAGTAAAGAAATGACAAAATACAGCCAGAAACAAACTCAGTGCAATAGAACAAGCAAAGGGCATTCGTAATAGTTCCTTTCCCACAACTATTATCTGGGGCTGAGCAATGAGGTGTCCATATTCTCCTTTCACCTTTCTGGGGGGCTGTCATGATTTCTAACCAAGAATGAGTACACACATCACACAAGGGCATGCTGACAGTCTTGGCATCTGGTCTAGCAGGCAAAGGCCAGTCTGTGTCTCCCACACCACAACCCTGACCCCATGCACAGAACAATGAAATGAAAACCCATCTCCTTCCCCAGCTCGCCGCGAAGAGGCCTCAGTAAGGACATGCTGGGGGGGGGGGCTTCTTACCTGTGGCCTGCGGCGGGCTCGGACCTGGCAGTCTTTTGGAGCACCCTGCCTCCTGCACCACCAAGGATAAGACTGATACCAGGCCAGAGAGCTTGGAAATTTGGGATTGGGCTACCGGACCTTGACAAGATAAGGCCAAAATGGAAGACTGAGCTGTCTGTTCTGCACATGCTGACATCTTGTCACTTTCAACGGCAACCTGCCCTTCCTTCTTCCAGGAGAGACAGTGATTTTCAATGTGAAAATAAAAAACCCTGTTCTTTCCACTCACAGAGGCAAATTAACCCCGAGCCTGCTTGCGGAGCGCAGCAATGGAGAGATGGAGGGGGCAGGGAGCCTGCTAGCGGACGTGTGCCCATCACGGTGGCTCTCCTGTTGCCCAGACAACAGCCTCAAGTACGTGGCCATTCATCAGCCCCGACTCTTGACAACTCCCCTGCAAACACCAGGGGCTACTTGGAACTCCAAGAGCACAGCTCCTGTTCAAGCCAGAGAAGGCCCCAGGGGCTAAGTCTGTCAGCAGAAATAGGAGGACCAAGGTGGATCACCAACTTTCTGCAAGCGTGAAAAGAGTTAAGTGTCTCCTAAAACAGGGCTCTTTGGGACAAGAAATCTCAGCCCCTAGAGTTGTGGGGCAGCCAGGGAGGACAGGTTGGCCAGGCACATTCTGGCTGCGAGAGCCATCTTGGGGTGCTAAAGTGCCCCCTGAGTGACAAGAGGGTGTTCTGCCAGATTTGCAAGTTCCCTCTGCAAGCACTGCCAGGTGGGCATGGTTTAACCAGACCCACACCAAGAGCTATTTGAAACCAAAGTTTACTCGTCTGCAAAACATACAACAGGTTCTCTTGAGAACTAGGAGTTTGGGTCGAAAAACACAGGATTCTGGCACTTTGTATTACTGGCGGCTTGCTTTCTTACCAGCTCTGAGCCTCTGTTTCCTGATGTGTAAAGTGGACAAATGATGCCTGCCCCTCCAAGGTGTGAGGATCACGGGAAGCAACTCAGTGAATGCAGGAATGGAAGGGACAACTCGGCTTGCAGGTTCGAAAAATGAGGAGTGAACAAGAGGCAAACTGTGACGCTGATTTTCAGCACATTGTTTTAGGGGGTCAGATCAATGACATCCCAAAAGACAGATCAATTTGGGACAATCAGAGAGTTTGGTGTGTTCTCGCATCACCCTGGCAGTTCCTCCTGTGTCCTGGAATGCATGTGCCATGAGGAGCCCTCTGCAAAAGGCCGACTTCCTGCTCCCTGAATCCCTTGGGGAATCTTGGGTGGGGCATTTCAGTGAAAGTACGATTTTCACTCTGGATATAGAATGGGCCTGCTGTTCCTCTGGCCCACACCCCACCTCATAATTCATTTCTATCTGACATCCATGCATGTCTGCATGCATCCGTTCAGCTACCTGTTCATTCGTTTCTACACATGTATTTGCTCACCCTTCTGCTTACCCACCCATCCACCCAGTCCTTTAACTATCCATCCATCCATCCAATCATAGATCCATCTCTAATCCACCACCATCCACCCACTTATTTTGATTCTCACTTGTCCAGCTAGCCACTCGCCTCTCAGCCATTTGCCCCTCTCTTTGCCCACTGGTGTGTCCGTTCATCCACGCAGCCCTTTTTCTGTCCATCCTTCCCTCCATCTACGGTCTGTTTGCCACTGTGTGCCCTCTCCCTGTGCTGGGCGCCTCGTGTGCACCTATACTGTCTTAAGTATGGGAGACACAGAAAAACTCCGACATGACCCTTGTCTTTCAGAAGCTTACAGGCCAGGGGGTGGAGGCAGGCAGGTGTATTAGGTTTTTATACATAAGAAGTGCTCTGAGTGGGTGAGCAAAGCCAGCACAGCAGCACTCCTGAGACCATACATGTGATAAGCACTTACTGAATACCTGCTTATTGGGCAGGCCCAGTACAGCCATCTGGAAAAATTATTTAGGTGTGTTAATAGATCACAATAGATGTCATGAGCCTGAGATTCAGAGGCTAAGGTCACACAGGTAATTCGGACCTCATCTGTCTGGCCCAGAAGGCTGAGCTGGAATTGCACTGTTCTTTCCATCAGATGTGTTCATTATGAAACTTAGAGCTATGTCAACACCAATTGTGTTTACACAATTGTCACAAAGCCACTTCCCCACTGTGAAGCTAACAGCTGAAGCTTCAAGGGCAAGGGCTGCATCTGACTGCCTTTGCACTGCCTGTGATACCTGATGTGGTGACCTGCATACGGCAGGCACACAGAGGTGAACTACAGGGGGGACATGGCACAGCAGGCCCCTCTGTTTCCTTGGAAAGGATGCCCTCTCTGCTGGCATTAACCACTCCAGAAGATCTGACCTCCAAGGCTCTCGTGATGGCATCCAGAGGAGTGCCAACCAGAGCTCTGCAGCCACCAAGTAGTTTTGGCTGAGACCCTTGCTGGACTTCTGCCTATAGGATGGGGTGGCATGTGGCAGGTGCTGCCTCCAACACGAGGGGTGCTCAGGACCTAGGGAAGGTGCTCAAGGATGTGCTTCTCAGGCCAGAGCGAGACTTCCTTGTCTCCCAGGACCCCAGAGGGCACTGCTAGAGGCTAGAGGAACATGTCCTCTTCTCTGTCTTCCACACTCGGCTTCTAAGGGGTCAACCCATCAGCATGATTTTTCATGCTCTTCCCAGAATGACACCCATATCTACAATTCAAACTGAATTGGAGTTGAGACAGAATGTGTATGTGCATCCATGTGTATGTACATGTGTGTGCACATGTGGGTGGCGTCCAGAGCATGGGACTGGAAATTGGAAACCTTGCTGAGCACAACCTATCAAGTGTGCTTAAATCCACAGAATCTCAGCTCCATGGGGTAGGGGCCACAAGTGGTCACCCACGTGTCCCTGGCACTAGGACAGGGCCTAGCACATAGTGAGTGCCTAAAAAATATTTCTTGGATAATCAAAGTCACTTAAAGCCCTCCATGCTTAACTTCTTCACCTACTGAGTCAGGATAATGACATCTGCTCACCAGGTGTTGTCAGGACTAAAAATGACACCAAAGGAAAGGGAAGCAGGGCTTGGTGTCACAGGCCCCCAGGCGTGTCCTGTGCCTTCCCTCCCTCCCTGGATCCTTCACCTCTATGACCAACCCTTGTCTGTGTCCTCTGCACCAGAAAAGGGGAGTGTGTCTCTGGCATGGTGCAGATAGCTCCTTCCAAGCCCTGGAATGAGGAACCCTCAGGGAAAGGCTGACTTCCCACCCCCAGTCCTGGAGGAGCCTCAGCTGGAGGCACCCCAGTGAGTAGGGGTCTCTGATCTTTCTCGGGATGCAGAACCAAAGCTCCATCCTCATATTGCCACCTGACAGCTCACATTTGCTCAGAAATGAAACAACAGATGTAGTGAAATACTAGTGCTGTCCCTGCACTGGACGGAGGAACTTCCTTGGGCATTCTGAGTGAAGCATTACCTTGTTCTAATGAGCTTGCATTAAGTGTCAGGCACTGCTCCTTCCCCTGCGGGGTCTACTTGCAGAAAGACCCTGAGCAGGAGCCAGGCTCTGAGAGGGAAGCAATTGCTCGGGCGACATTACTGAGGCAGAGGGCCGTGGCCTGCTTGGTGTCTGCCTCCTGCTATGGCTGCAGGGACCAGGAGGGAATTGCCTTTCATCAGACCTGGACCAACTAGAGCAGGGGCAGCAGGAAAGGGAGGAGCTCCTGCTTGTCTGTCTGAAATGAAGACTGTCTCGGGGAGTAACCCCAGGAGACACTTCAGCACTTCAGTGACTCAGACAAGCTGCCCTGGAAAGAATACTGCCCAGCAACGCCAATGCCCATCTCTGCCAGCGAGAACTGTCCCCAGCCCTGCTTTGGGTCTCTGGAACCAACTAGTTCTTTCCAGGTGGCTTGTGTGAACTTCTCCGTTTGCCAATCAAAGCTTCCCTCACTCTCCTCTCTGTGGACACACCTGTGTCTTGCCATCACTGCACATCTCAGGTTGTAATCCTCTTTTCTAATTTTTGAATAAATTTGACATATTTATGGATATTTTTCTCTGATTTTTTTTTTTTTTTTTTACTTAACGCTCCTAAATGTAACTTGGTTCAATATTGCAAGTGACTCAAAGGTACATGAAAATGCAAAATAAGAGCACACCTGCATCTGAGTTTCAGTCCTTACCTGGGGGCCTCACTGGTGGCCAGGTCTCCCCGCCCCAGCTCCTTCCCTCCCAGACTGGTCACCTGGTCCTGCCGCCTGTCAGTTCCTGACTATCCAGGGAGCTGCTCATTTCTTGACTTAACTTGTTGGTCTCCTTTCTTTTTATTTTCTGTTCATTTTCTTTGCTTTCTTTCTCTTTTTAAAAAGCCAATAAATAATGACCAAGTAGAGTGGAGCTAATATAGTATAAGAAAATACTGTCAGGTCCTAAGTGCTGTAACATGACACAGCAGGGTCGAGGGCCAGGCATGCGGGGCGTGGACGCCAGCTTGGCCACTGACGGGTCACGCTCAACCCTGGCCTCAGCTTCCTTTAGCTGCAGAGGTGTCCAGGTGAAACAATCTGACCTCCTTGAACTTTATGTGGCTGCCACGCACTAAATGGCAGCCATGCCAACACCACCCATCCTGTCCTCTGCACCAAGAGTCACCCACCCTGGCCTGGCAGTCCTGCCCACCCTCAGGGCTGGAGGCCCAATATCTAGAAGCAGGAATGGGATTTGGGTATAAGAGCTAATTAAAAAAAAAAAAAACTTTCAATGAGTTTGCAATATACAGTGGAAAAGTAAATACATTAATTAAAAGGTTTAGGTTTTTTAACTTGTTGAATGTATTATCGTGAACTAATTAAACAGTTCAGTAATTCAATGTCATAACCCACAGTTTACTTCAGGAAAGTTGGGAAATGACAACGAGGACTGCTCAAGTCTGACTTGGGCTCCCCTGTCCCCTCTGAGATTAATGGATGCTCAGTTTGCCCAGACAGGGCAGAGGGGCCAAGTGTGGGTCTTAGTCACATGTACACAAGCATACATGCTCGCACAGACACCTATGCATACATGCACACACTGTCTATAGGACATAATTTATTTAGAATGGGAAGAAATTTATAAAAAATATCATTCTATGTGTGTATTAGGAGCCAAGGGCATGCTAATCCATTCATTGTTTTCTGATGGCTCTCAGGAGCCCTGTGAAGGGATAGGCATCTCCCCAGATAACACCTCAATTTATGTCCAATCACATGCAAATTACAAGGCCCATTTCCTTCCAGGTTGGAGACAGACTTCACTCATGTTAATCCCAGGAATATGGCCAAAAGCTTGACAGGGAGTAGGTGCCCTACAAAATCTACTTCAATGTAACAAAATTCTGGAATGACAAAAGGGTTTTGGTAATTGCTCAGGGTTTGATCGAATAGAACTAACTCGCTTTGGGGAGAGTCAGTTATATCTAGATTTGTTTTTTAAAACCACCAAGATGATCGCTGGTAATAGTAATGTCTTTGCCAGATGACTTAGTTAAAACATTTGATGTCAAAGCTCTTTGTCTTAGATCTGGCTTTTTCAGCCTTTTGGGAGCAATTTTGTGACCTGGAGTCCCTGAGGGGCCACCACCTCCTATGCTGTGTGAGGCACAGGGGTTGTTAATAAAAGGCCAAGGAGTTAATTCCAACGTACGCCCCCACGAGCACAGGATACTCAGCCTTCCACACAGGCTGCTCTACCTGGGAACCACAAGCGAAAGACAGTCACCTGCTATGACTGCTCCTTCTGTTGGCCTCAGTTTCCCCACTTGTAACATGAGGGAACTGGCTTGGGCAAACTCTAGGGGCCGAGAGTCTAACTAGCTCACTGCATTCTGGCCCCTCCTGGAGATTCTTGTTGAAAGGCAGTGGCAAAAGTCCGAAACCCAGAAGATTTAATTCCTATTTTTCCTTCTTGGGAAAAGGAAAACGTGGACCACGTACAGGGCCTATTGCCATTATGGAGAACATTTAAAAAGTCATGTGCATAATTAGATCACTAAGTTGTCAGAAAGTCACAGACAGCACACGTTTTGTAAGATTTCACCTAAAAGTTTCTTCCAGTTGTCAATGTGGAACGTGGCTGTCTTCTTAGGGTGCGTCTGGACAAGAACATGCAATGTGGAAATCCCTTAACCCATCTCTAGCAACTTGGTAACAGTCCCTACCACGTGCACAGCACTTTACAGTTTAGGACATGTTTCCACGTTTCTTATTCTACAAAGTCCTCACAACCAGCCTATGAAAAGGGTGGGACAGAGGGTCCTGTTTTGCAGACGAGGAAACAGAGGCTCAGGGTAAGGAAGCAGCATGCCCTCAGCCACCCAGAAATCCCAGGAGGAGACAGAGGGGGAGGCTCTGAGCCCGGGATTCCTGTTCCACAGCCCAAGCATCTGTTCCCTGCATACCTATCCCAGTGGTACAGTTCAGGTAGAGTGGAGGTGGAGGGATCAGAGGGTTAAGAGAGGCCCTCACTGTGAAACAACTCCAGCTCCTATTTGCTTAGGCGAGAAATCTCTTTAACTGAAGGCAAGGTTGTTTAGTCTGCCATCAGAAATTCCCAGAACACAGGACCTAAATTCTCCCGATGAGATGAACAACTGATTCTAGTTTGTTGTCTTCCAAAGACCAGGCCTGGATCAGGTCGTGGTTCCAGAAGCCCCCACCTCTTGTCATCTTGGCTAAAGTCATGCTGCTTCCCCCAAAGCAGCAGGGCTGAAGGCAGCACAGCCAGGCACACCCCAAGCCCCTCTGACGGGCAGTATAGCCTCAGGTTTGTTACACACAGATGTGTCCTTACTCGGATGCACCCTTCATTGTAACTTATGAAAAGAAGGTTTTCAGGAGGCTACTGGTGAATGTGCACTTGACATTCAGAGGGCCAAGGGCCTGGGAGGTGCCTTCGCCACATTAATTAGCGCAGACCAAAGGATGTGATCAGACAGGCATGCGGGCAAACCAGGGCAGCGGAGGGTCCGACTGTACCATGCTGTTTGTAGATAGGGGGTTTCCTATAGATGTTATCTTTTACGCCAGTGTCTGAGAAAGAAGAAAGAAAAAAAAAGGAGAGAATAGGAGGGTAAGCGAGCAGATTGTGCTGGTTTTCGTTCTACTGCTTTTTTGTTGGCAACAAGCACTCACCTAGATTTAGATGAATGTGCCACCCAGCAAGCAACCAACACCGCGGCCTCAGACACCAGACCATGCTTCTCCACTCCACTCACTCCAGCCCATCTGAAGGGGCTCAGGGAGGGATGAGGGAGGTGAGGTGACCAGGCCAGGCGACACACGGGAACCTCAGGTCCTGGGCCTAGTCGCTGCTCGGCTCACATGGCCTCAGGCCCTGGGCCCAGTCGCTGCTCGGCTCACATGGCCCTTCTCCTCTGTTCCATTCCCAGGAGGACAAATGTATCTGCCCGGTGTTTGTGGGACTTTGGGAGAAACTCAAACACACATCTGTCTGGGGATATGCACAGCTATCTGGTGGTCTTTAAAGACCCTCAGGGTCTGGGGCAGCAGTGGAGAAGCATGGTGAGTCACCTGGCAGCTGCGGAGTCCAGGCCAGCCCCTGACAACAACTCAGGTGCAGCCAGACCTCCACCCCATCTGACACACCCTGGGCCTACCTGGGACATGGAAGTGGCGAGGCGCCTGCTGGTAGGTGGAGGAAGGAGGCTTGCTGTCTGACAGCACAGAGAGGCTGGGGGTGCTCCGGCCACTTTCACTGCCTCCAGACAGAAGAGCAAAACCGCAGACCAAAGGGGAAAAGGAAAAGCAGAGCAGAGTATTTCAAACATAACAGCCCACGCGCAGCCCCCGTCTCTCCTGCCTGGGGCGGCACCTATGCCCTCTGCCCAGCGGAGGGAGCGTGGGCCCCTATCGACATCTGCAGATTGGTGCAACCTTGTTAATCCAACCTTGGGGGTGAGCTCCAGTCAGTGCCCGGGGGCATAATGAGCTTGCTGTTCTTAGCTCCCTCTGGGGTGGTGGCCTGGGCCCTCTGGTGGAGCCCAGGGTCCTTGGGGGTGCACACCCAGTCCTGTCTACTTCCTGCCGTGGTGGGTATTTGAATCCAGCAAATTAAAAATCAGCAAAACCAAGGCTTCCCTTCCTAATTATTCTTGTACATAAAGATCTGCTTTCCTTGAGAATCCACCATTAGTCATTCAGAATAGGACCAAAATGCCAAAATGAATCAAAATCATCTTTAAAGGCCATTGAGCAAAATTCTACCCGCTACAGCAAAATAAGAAAAGAACAGTATCCTTCAGTTGCCAAGTTCCCAAACAAAACAATGTTTTGGCAAATTAAATGGAAAGTGTCCTCAGAGCCTCTGGCCCTGGCTCTAATTTCTTACTTCAGTTGTAATTGCTGTTTTTTGAACAAGGTTGGATTATCAAGTCACAAATCTAAAATGCTGAATCACCTGGGGGACCCCCCCATTTAAGGAATGGTATGACAGACAGACGTATGGGCACTGAACACGCTGGACGACAAGGTTTATGCTCATTTTGGGAAGACCCTCTCAAGGCGCCGTCCCTCTCTCCTGGCCTTTGGAACCCTCCGCAGTACCAGCTGTCAGGATGGCCAGAGGAAGGGTGCTCTTAACTTGAGAACATTCCCTTTGAGCTGCAGCCTTTCAAAGCAGCAGGTCCCAAAAGTGACATCGTAAAGAATCAGAGCTTCCACGGGGGGTGGGGAGCAAGCACTGTGCTAGGCCTGCCAGGGGACAAACCAGGGACCGCCTAGTGGACTAATGAGGACAGCTCCATGGGTGCTGGCCCAGAAGGGCTCTTGCCTCACTAAATTATCAGAGGAGACAAGTTGTAACAAGGTAAGCATACTGGAGAGTGGTGGGCGGACTGGGTGCAGTGGGAGGGTGCCCAGGGCAGGGAGGGGTCAGCTTGGGCAGATGCCAACTGGTGGCCTGCACAGGGCTGCAGCCACAAAGGGGATCTGATTGACTCCAACTTTGGGTGCTTTCTTGTGCTTGGGTGTGGGTGTTGACTTCACCTGTCGATGCTGATGGCACTTCCAGTAAGGGCTGTTCCCTTAGGTACCTCCCTCCAGAACAGCAGAGAGCTTTCTGGAGCTTCCCTTGACTCTACTGGCTCCTGCACCTCTCAGTGGTACTAGGGGCCCTGAGAAGAAACCAGGAATCCTTTCCGCTGCCTGGGGCTGTGACAAGATTCATCCAAACATGTGGCAAGGCATGGCAGAAGAGGGGCCTTCACCACTGAACTCGAAAATCACCTGCCGTGCTGTCACTAAGCTGAGCTGCTCTCATTCCAGAAGCAAGGAACCCAGGAGGCCGTGAATGGCTCAATTCTTTCTATCTAGAATCCTGGTCCCTCATCCATCTTGGCTGTTGCCCAGTTGGCCCAGGACTCTGACACGTTACATCATTCTTGTGCCTCCTCGGTTCCTAGCTCATAGTACAGCATCCCCTAAATTACAAACAAGATCCTGCTGACTCACACGCATGTTTATCTGAGGAGGGCCCACGGCTTCCATCGGATGCCTCACCCCTGCCACCTGGGTTCTCTAAACCTGGTCCCCGAGTTCTGCCACCTCGGACCCCCACCTGACACACAGTGGCCACAACCCCCTTCCATCCTCCGATGCCCTGACCAAGGCTTCCCACTGTCCAGATCCTTCATGAGTCCAGGCCAGGGCTCTGTCTCTTCCGGGCAGGCTTCGGGAAGAACACAGCCCACCACAGACCTCTCCTTTCTCTGCATACATGCTGTCAGGCCCCTGTGTGGCTTCATCGGAACAAAAGCATCGCTAGCTGTGAGCCCACAGTTCCACTTGGGTACTTTGCCTGACTTATTTTGTGGCATGGCCATGATGGCCCCGTGGAATGGGTGCCAACTTGTCCACTTTCTGTGGAGGTCACAGGGCTGGTGGGAGCAGGACCAGGGCCCTGTGAGATCGGCTTGGTCACTGCTCAGAGGCCAGCTTCCTCCTTGGGCCTCAGTGGTAAAAACCCTAAGCTGCTGATGTCTCTGTGGCTGTGAGAAAACCGCAAGAAAGCCCGGCTGTGGGGGACGCTGGAAAGGCACAGAGGCCCCTTACGGGCGGTTCATACCCCAGGAGGTTCCTGACACCGGCTGGGAGGGACTTCCAGCATCCTTCATTCTGGATTGGCAGCTGGTTCTTTTGAAAAGCCATATCCTCCTCCTCTTCCTCCTTCTCTGCCTCCACTTTCTTTTCTTTTTAGAGACAGTCACTTTATCGCCCTCAGTAGAGTGCTGTGGCCTCACAGTTCACAGCAACCTCCAGCTTTTGAGTTTAGGTGATTCTCTTGCCTCATCCACCCGAGTAGCTGGGACTATAGGTGCCCGCCACAATGCCTGGCTATTTTTTGTTGCTGTTTGGCCGGGGCCGGGTTCCCCAGCACTCCCGGTATATGGGGCTGGCACCTGCCTCCACTTTCTTTTATATAAATAAATGCTTTGCAGTTTCAGGCTGTGTAGAGCGCTCCTGCACACTCCCTAGCCAGTCTCCCCCACCGTCCTGAGGGTGCACAGGCAGGATGGCGCCAGCCACACACCACACTTGAGTAGGTTTCCATCAGCTTTTACCTAATGTCCTCTTTGTGACACCACAACACCACGTTACATTGAGTCCTCACGTCTCCTAGGGCTTCTCTTGGCTGTGACAGTTTTGTAGACCTTCTTGTTTTTGATGACTTTGACAGTTTTGAGAGGTACTGGTGAAGAATGTTGTAGAATGTCCCTGAAGTGGGATTTGATGTATTTCTCATGGTGTTTGGGAGGAAGGTCACAGAGGAGACGTGCCATCTTTCATCACGCTGTGCCCCAGCACCTGCTGGCAGGAGGACGTAGCACTGCTGGTAGTGCCCTTGCGGCTGGGGCAGTGTCCGTCAGGATTGCCCACCACAGAGTTCTTCCTTCCCCTTTCCATGAGGTGCTCTCCGGGAGGCAGCCTCCATCTGAAGCTCACGCTCAACCACACACGGAGCGGGACTCACAGCCCAGCTCCCTGAGGACAGAGGAGCTACATGAATGCTTTGGAACTGTGTGGGAGGCTTGCCTCTTCTCCACTTATTTGTTTATTCAAATGTTTATTTTTTATCAGTGGGGACAAACCCAATACCACGTTAGTCATTTTGTTGCTCAAATTGTTCCAGCTCTGGCCCCTGGGAGCTCTCTCAGGTGGTTCTTGTTGAACCTTCCCAAGGGACGTCAAAGCAAGACCAGCCTGCGGTTTCGTGTAAACCTTGGAAGACCTAACCAAGACGTGTGCACATGTTTGTCTGTGCAACACACTGCCACATTCCACCTGAGCTGTGCACCACGACCCTCCATGGTGGCCCAGGGACGAGGATCTCTTTTTGAGCCAAGAGAGCAGACACGACAAGGTGAAGAGATGCCCATGGGCACAATGAGTGGCAGGGAAGTGGCCTTGACCTGGGGCTCACGTCTGGGGGCCTCTCCGCCTTCCTTCTCCTATCAGGTGGCTTGGAGAAGCCCCACAGTCAGGAGAAGCCCCACAGTCAGCAGCAGCACATCCCCTGGGCACTCCACACCTGCTTGTCCCTGCAGCCTGCTGCTCGACAGCTGAGAGGTCAGACTTAAACTGTGCACTGCCCCAGGAGACACCCCAGGGTTGACATTCATACTATAGTGCAAATGGCTATGGCCAGCAGATCTGTGGAAGGTGGGTCTCGGTGGGAGGGTGTGCCAAGCTGGGTGGTGGAGTGGGCAGGGAGGAGGGCCGGGTCAAGGGGACACACCTCTCCCTGGGGACCCTCCTCCCACAGCACTGTGCAGAGGGAAGTGTCCACTGACGTGGCCACAGGTGCCAAAGGTGCCATGGGGAGTGAATGGGGGAAGATGGACCCTGGGCCCCACATCCAGCTGAGAGGAGGCCATCAATCAGAGTGTCCATAGACTGGGATGAGCTGGAGTTCATGGGCTGCTGGAAAGGACAGGCTTCCTTTGGTGTGGCCTCAGGGGAGCACTCAGGACCCAAGAGTAGATATGACTTAAATGAACAAAGGCCCCTAGGTGGCAGTCTGACTCTGGGCTCTGCCCAAAGTAGCTTTGGGATTTGGGCCAGTGGTTTATCTCTGAACTTTAGTCTCCTCAGGGGTACATTCTGGAAAGAGGCTAGAGGGCTCCCAAGGTCATGGGCAGCCATGGGAGATGGTAGGGGCAGAGACATGTGTGCAGAGCAACCCATACTCAACACCAGGTAGGAAGGCAGAGGCCCTGTCTGATTTCTCCGCAAAAGGCACTGGCAGCTGAAGCAGCCAGGCAGGACCCAGGACAGAGACAGGCATCACAGGTGGCCAACCATGGGGCTGGTGCCCATCCCCACCCAGAGCAGACCACACAGGATTGGTGCCCTCTGTTCCTGGCAGATGGCCTGGGATGGGTGGTCAGAGCCACACTTTGACGGGTGAGGTGGGCACAGCCCTCCACATTCTCTTTCTTCACAAAGGATGGAAGGAAGGGGTCTGGGAGGTTCATCCCACGGGGTCCTCTCTGGCTTTTCTCATGTGCTGAGGAAGAGGCTGGTTGCTGCCTGGGGGACCTAGCCTGGCCTCTCCTCACACTGGAGTGGCAGGAATTAGAGGGTGGAGACTCAGAGAGGGGCAAAAGAGGAGAGAGTTGCAGGGTCTGCTCAGGCTCCAGGCCTCTGAGGAGAGGGCAAGGAGAGCCTGCCTGGGCTCTGGACTCGCCCCTCCCAGGGACCTCATGGGGACTATTGTCACCAAAGTAGGACCACCATAGGTGGGAGGAAAGCCAGGTAGCTGAGGCCTTCTGACGCTTCAGCAAAGCAAGACTCAGCATCTCCTTGGGTGATAGCCACGGCATTCACTCTGGACTTTGGAGAGTGTGCCCTCCACGTGTGACTTCTGGGGACCCTGGGGATGTGTGCGGCAAAGCCCCCTGCCCTGTGAGCTGTGTTCCTGCTCTCAGAACGTGCCATTTCAGACTTTGTTCTTCTCAAATGCATCAGGACATCCCAGCACGGCCACAAGCTGTAGGGGCAGTCCAGAGGTGAGGATCAAGGACTCTCTTCTCAGTAGACCACAGGGCCCACTCAAAACCAGTGACGATGTGCACAGCGAGAGATTGCAAGTGCGCCTGAACCTGTTTGGGGACAGTCAAGTGGTGGAGAAGCCACTGACGCTTGCCTTGCCTTCCTGCCCCGGGCAGAGCCCTTCCCACTGTGCAGCTGTGCGGTACAGGGGACTCATTCAGGAATCAGCACGGACCATTGCTACTCCCTCCAACTCTCTGAGTGCTGTGCTATGGTGTAGCAATTAGTCAGCTAGGACTGTGCAACAAATACCAAGACTGGCTGGCTTAAACATAGGCATTATTTTTCTCACAGTTCTGAAGATCAGAAGTCTCAGACCAACATCTGGCAGGGTCTGGTTTCTCATAAGGTCTCCATTTCTGGCTTGTAAACGTTCATTTTATCCTCACTCGGACTTTCCTCTCAGTGTGCGCAGAGAGAGAGACTCAGCTGTGGTGTCCCTTCCTCTTCTTTCAAGGATGCCAGCCCCATTGGATCAGGGCCCTACCCTGTGACCTGGCATAACCTAGTCACCCCCTTATAAGCCCTGTGTCCAATGAAATCACATTGGGGGGAGGGCTTCAACACAAGGATTTGGGGGACACAGGTCAGTACATAGTTTAGGGGAAAGCACAGCTTGGCCATTTCCCAGTGGGATTCATGTGCAGGTGTCCAGGTGGGGATGTAGATGGTGAGTGTCTGTGTCCTGTGCCCTTGGGGTTGACACAGGGACTCAAAGGCAATGATGCTTTTAGTACAAAGCCTGCAGTGGGTGCCCAACCAGGCCTGGTCCCTTTCCAATAATATCCCAAGCCCACCCCCTTCTGTTCCCTACATTCTCCTCCCAGGAACATTTACAAACTGAGGCACAGAGCTGGACGCACAAGACACACACAGCAAGGGGCACAGGATATGAGACAGAGGGCTCCGGGGAAGCCATGCGGGGATGCAGGACAGCGAGCACACAGATGCCTGGCGCGGAAGCCCTCTGAGCACCCACAGCCCACAGCACTGCGCGCCTTACCTCGGAAGTAGGGGATGTAATGATGTCTGAACACGGATGTAGGGCTTGGGTGTTGGGACAGGGAGAGGCAGCTACTGGTACCAACACTCACAGTACCAGCTACGGGGCAACAGAGAGCAAGTCAGAGTCAGCTCTGGGCTGCCGGCCATAGCCAATAGTCCCAGACCCCACTCACCAGGAGCCCGCTGCTTCCTCTCTCGAGGTGCGCACACTTTTCTGAGGCATGGGGGCCTCACCAAACATGCCTCAGGCCACTAAGACTATCCCTCAGGATGAAAAGGTGGTGGCTCGGAGAGCTGCTGGGCGAGTGCCTCTGCCAGGCCTCCCAGGGAAGGATGGTCCCCCGAGCCAGGCCTGTTGCTCCACATTGGGGGTCTCCTTGGACCAAGAGCCCAGGTGGAGAGCAGCTGGCCAGAGGTCAGGAAGTGGTCTGTCAACAGACAACCTCATTGGCCTCACCCAGCAAGATGCCAGTCCTGGCTCCGTAGGGTTCAGCCCAGGCCAAGCTTATTGACTAACAAGCCCAGGTGGCCTCGTACCATGAACCCCGGAACATGGCAGGCAGTCAGCCAGGGGTCACCAGGAGGAGCCCACTGCCCTTCACACTCCTGCTCAGCTGCACCCTCCCACTGCCACTCACTTTTTCACTCACTGACTCATTCACTCACTCTCATTCATTCATTTCTTCACTCACTATCTCATTTGCTCACTTAGTGACTCATGTATTCACTCACTCATTCACTCTGTCTCACTCATTCACTTATACACTCATACATTCAGTCATTCACTCATTAACTCACGCATTCACTCTCTCTCTGACTCACTCACTCCTCACTCATTCACTCATTTATACACACTCACATTTACTCACTCAGTCATTCACTCATTTACTTATACACATTTACTCACTCACTTGCTCACTCATTCATTTTACACATTCATACATTCACTCATTCATTTACACATTCATTCATTCACTCACACACTCATGTATTCAGTCATTCACTAACTCATTCACTCACTCCAATAATTCACTCACTCATTCACTCTCTCACTCACTTATCAACTCATTCACTCACTCTTCACTCATTCACTTTTTCACTCTCATTCGCTTACTCATACATTCATTCACTTACACATTCACTTACATTTACTCACACACACACTCATACATTCAGTCACTCACTTATTCCCTCTCTCATGTGAGTCATTGACTCTTCACTCTCGGACTTGCTTTTTCACTTACACACATTCACTCACTCGTTCATCCACTCACTCACTCATCCCACTTTCTCAGCATTTATTGAGCAGAATGTACCAGGCACATTGCAAAGAGTCAATGAAAATAACTTTGCAAATGAATGAATTTTGATTTTTCCACAAAGGCTGCAAAAGTAAGAGCTGTAGTTCATGGATGTGAGGATGGGATCATGCAGCAGCTGGCCAAGAAGGAAGCAGCTTGGAAAAATCCCTCAAAAAAGGCAGCATCTGCATGGAGCATCCCTGTGTGTGGCTCCGACACACTCAGGGGGTTGAGGAGTTTCAAAGCTATACATGAACGAGACACAGCCAGGCACCAGGCAGGGAATGAGGTGAGAACCTGGAGAGGACCCTTCCGGGCGCCTCCTTGCTGGTGAGGGCCTGGCAGGGGTCTTGCCCGTTTTCCCCTGAAGACGGCTATCTCTGGGGGTAACTAACACAGCAAAAGGTGAGGAGCGAATGGATATCTGACTCGAGTTTCCAGCCAGTGATTTTACCTTCGTAGCTCAAGTCTCCACAGACCCACAGGGCTCGGAACTGGCTGACATCTGGTGCTACCGAAACACTGGCTGGGAGGGACACCTTCCTACCTTCCTTCCTGGACCCTCCCCTGTCACTTCACTTCCTTCCTTCCTCTAGAATTTCATCCCAGAGAATCTCACTAGTGGCATAATAATAATCATCACTCCGCTTATGCTTCACAGGAAAATGTGCCCAGCCAACAGGGCAGCAACTGCCGCTGGCTCTGCTGTCCTCCCCTCCTGGGCCTGAAGAGTCCTTTTCTTTATGTGGCTCAATTGACCTGTTCTCAGCCACCCACCCACCTTCTATCATGGTATAGAGGACCTACTTTTTAGCAGGAAAATTAAAGAGAAATATGGCTCTGTGGGGGTGAGGGACTCATGGTGGCCAAGTACCTGGGCGGCTGTAGTGCTGAGGTGAGCGCGAAGTCGGGGTGTAGCGCCCAAGGCTGACCGAGCCAGTGGAGCTGGGGCTGGAGGTCCGGCACTGCTTGTAGGAGCGGTCATCCTGGTCCCCCTGGGAGGGAAGACATAGCTGTGGGTACCTGGACTGAGAGTACTGCCCACCCCATCACCCTGCCCCACCTGCAGCTGGTCCCTGGGCTCCTGACCAGGTGGCTGAATCCCCTGCACCTACAAGCACCCGGGAGAGCGCCCTCTGCCGCCTAGCAGGCCAGGCTTCCTTGGGGGCAGTCAGAGAACCTGGGTCCCCAGCTTCCCCAGTTTCCTCCTGCCCTGCCTTTTCCAGCATCCAGGGCTCCTCAGTGTACAGTGTGAGAACGACTGGGACTCCCCCAGGACTGATAGGGGTCCCTCGTGCATAGTGGGGTACTCTAAGCGTGCTGGAAGCACATGGAGGTTGGAAGGTGTCCCTCCCAGCCAGGAAGCCCTGTTCAATAAGACCCACAAGCACTAACAAGGCAGACCTCATCTGAGCAGGAACAAACAGCTATTTGGAGTGGTCAGAGTGGGTGGCAGGTGGCATGAGATGGCATGGCACCCTGGCCTGGGGAGAGTAGGCTGAGGCTGCCCTGTTGCCACAGCTTGGCATGCTGACCTGGGTCATGACATGGCCCGGCCAGACCCCCGCTATGGGGAGGATGCTGCTTTGCCCTCGAGGCCAGCACTATGCTGAGCAATGGGGCTCCCATTCTGGCTCCCAGGCCCCTGACTCCCAGCCTCATGGCTCAGTGTTCCTAAAGCTTGTCCATGCCCTGCCCATGCACTCTCAGGCCAGCCTCAAGACAAACTCCCACCTGTGCCTGCCCTGAGTCCTTTGGGACTATTCTACCCCACAGCCATGGGCATGCTCTCCAGGCCAGCCAAGGCCCTGCTGTCTTTTTCCTCTCCTACCCTAGGTTCCCTCTGCACAGCCTTAGTGGCCACAAGCCCCCCCCCCCCAACACGTGTCCTGGCTCCCTGCCCAGCATGTACCCGAGGCATAAGCCAGCCACCTGCACATTTGGTTGTCACACATCTATGCCCAGCTGCTGCAAGGTATGTGGAAGTGGGATGCGGGACAGGATCTACCCCACAGAATAGCCGTCAGGACTAACACACGCCCTGTGTCTGTGGGGACAGATTAAGGAGGAAGTAGAGGGATGAGGGGCTCTACAGAAGGTTCTGGCTCTTCCAGGTTGTAAGGAGCGAGGGGAAGGCCTTGGCCTGAGAGGACAAGAAGGTAAGCTACCATAGGCCTCCACTCCTGAGGGCTGGACTGGGAAACCTGGCTGAGGGTAGGAAGCAGGCAGGTCCTGGTGAGGGTGCCTGAGAGCTCGGGGTCAGGGTGACCACCTCTGGTCCAGAAGCCTGCAGGTTGCCCCTGGCTGTGCAGCCTCCCACTAACTAACCATATGCACTTATGTGTCCAGCCTGGGGTCACGGCCTGAGAGAGGGAGCTTTGCAATGAGACCAGGCTCTTCCTTAGAGTGGGCTCTGTCTGCAGCAGACCCTTTGCCTCATCTGGAAGGGTGTGGGAATGGAGCACACATCCCTCCCTCTGGGTTTCCTGTGCAGGTACATGAGGAGATATAAAGATGCCAGGTTCTAGCTCCGCATGGCAAAGGTCACTTGTACCTAGGAATCGCTACTTTAGCTGTGGTAACCACAGCTGCAGCCCTGCTCTCCAGGGGCTGGTGTGGGAGGCCAGGTGGCCCAGTGGGGTGAGCATAGGCTCTGAGCCAGAGCCAGGCTGGAACCTTCCTTCGCTTCAGAGCTGTGACCCTGGAGAGGTTATTAGACTTGTCTGTGCCTTAGGTTCTCTGAGAAAAAAATCATAGAACTTACCTTAATATGTACAAAACACTACACTAGTGCTGAGCACAGAGAAGGTGCTCAACGTGGCTGTGTCATGGTTCCTTATTCCTGGCCACAACTCTATCCCTGTACCGGGGTGGGGACATCATGTCCCGTAGATTCCTGATGCTCTATGCCACTGATTAATTTTGAGAAACAAAATCCAAGAAAAAGGAACTGGATGGCAAGTAACAAAGGCTACTGGTCAGGGAAACACGGTTTGAATGTCCATCCTCAAGGGCCATGGGCCACTCCGAGGGGCAGGAAGAGGTCCCCAGCTTGTGCTGCCTCCTGACTCTTCCTTGGAAGAAGCTGTGACCCAGAGCACCTGCTCAGCGGGGCTGTGTCCCAGGCATGCACATTCGAGGGCTGGCAGACACATGAAGGAAGCATGCAGATGAGGCAGGATTGTAAAAATAACCAAAACGCAGGTGGGCAACCCCAACCACGGAGGGCCAGGAGCCCGAGAGGCCCTCCTAGGGTGCGTGGGGTGGTTATCTTTACAACCTGGGTGGCAGCATGAGAGGCAGGGCAGACAGAGGGCGAGAGGTTACCTCAGTCGGCGTTGGCGAGAGCAACTGAGGGGACTGTGGACACAACACACGAAGTGGCCTGTTAGTCTGTGGCATCAGGCAGTTGGGGGAGAAGGGAGAGTTTAGTAACTGGCCAAAGACACTGGGCACAGTGTTCACACAGCAAGACCTGACTGTCCAAACGGGAGAAGAACTCAACTACAAGGGACAAAAACAGGACCCCCAAACCACCTTCTTGGAGAAGTATGGTCTCAGGCACCCAGAGCAAGAGGTCCTCAGGAAACCCATTCCATGTCACTGAGACCTTCTCCACCCTGGCCTCCCCCATGCCCTGCCTCTTGTCCTCCAAGACATATCGGTTCCCAAGGAAGGTCCTTGGTTCAGGCCTTGGGGAGCATAGCCTACAAGCCCCTCACCTGGGTGTGCTCTGGACAAGGTAAAAAAGGGGGCCCAGCATCAAGAGGGGACCCCACTTGGGGACCTTAGGGCTTGGGGTTATGCCTGGTACCTCCCATTATGGGGGCAAGCACCACCCATCCCCTGCAAATGTGTGGCCAAGACTCAGTGAGGCAGTGTGGAGGCAGAGGGACCTGGAACAAGGCATCACCCTTGCAGGGTGGGCAGGGATTAGGGAGAGAGCATGTGCCCCACGCAGCGGTGGAAGGAGCCCCATCCCTGGATTGTACTGTTACCATGCCAGCTGCTGGGCTCTCTGGAGGCCACAGGCTGCCCTGCACACAGCACCCTCTGGCATTGGAAGGCCTTGGGGAAGTGATGGGCCTTAGGGGTGACTCACTTGGACTGTCCTCAGGCACTGGTGTTGGGGGGCCTCAGAGTTAGCACACCTGACCCAAGACCCTAGGCACTGTCCACCTGCTGAGGCGGGCCCCTTAGGGACAGCTTTCCCAGCTGAGGATAGGGTCCTAAACACCAGGTGCACTTTGTGGAAGAGCAGAGAGGCCAACCCAGGTGCCAGGGAGAGGGAGGAGGATTCCTGAGTCGCACACACAGCCCTCCCTCCCTTCCGCTCCCTGCCATGGTGGCAGGCCCTGGGTCGGGAATCATCTGTGCTCACTCACATCAAGTCATGTGAGCAGGGCTGAGTGTGACAACAGCCCACACCCAGCACTTCTGCACGCACTCACGGCCCCCACGTGCCCTGCCAGCTCACACAGGTGCACACTTCAGGCTGCGTTTGCCTGACGCCGCACAGCTGCGGGAGGTGGGGGCCTGAACTAGCTCGCTAGACTTCCCCACGTCTTCTGGGAAGTGAACAGTTAAGGGAACAGCCAGCAAGCCACGTGGCCTTTGGGGGAAGAAAGGACTGGATGTGGGTGTCGGCTCTGCTGCTTACTGGCTCCGGCACCAAGCCAAGTTGCTGGAGCTCCCTGACTTGCTCCTGGGCCCAGTCTGGGCGAGACTGATGCTGGCCGATGGAGGCCTGTGGTGGGTGAGTGCAGACAGGCTGCCTCCTGCACCCCACCAGCCTGTCCCAGCGTGAATGGTGCTTGCTGCTCCCACCCATGGGGCACCTGCCAGCCCTGAGCTCTTCTTCCCCTCCTGCTTGGCCCTTGGGCTCTGTCAGCAGGGCCAGGCTGGGCGCACTCTGCATCAGCCACATCGAGCTGCTGAAGTCTCAAAATAAGGAGGTCCAAGGGAAAAGTATTTGAAAGAACTGAGTTTTCCTGCCCAGGGGCACCCCTGTGCCCAGGTCGCCCATATGCCAACAGCTGAGGAAAGATGGCTCTTCCACTCAGGCAGCCACAGTGACGCTGAAACTCAAAGTCACAAAAAGAAAAGTGGAAAACCAACAATGAATTCTACATTAAATGGAGAAGAGCAGCTGTGACGTCACCAAGTAATAATATACACTGTCGGCAGGAACACCAGGAAATCACCTGTGGTCCAAACAGGTGGTCAGGTTGGCTAAAGGAATCCTTGGGCCACCACAGTGAGAGTGGGGGCAGCCTAGAAAGTCTGTGCAATGGAGAACGGACGCCTTTCATACATGGAAAAATAACCCAATACTTAAGAAAATTAAGAGATTTTAACTGAGTTTCTATCATTTTTCCTAAACCCCAGCATGCTTCCTACTTTCTGCTCCATTTAATGAGTCTTTCCAGACTCACTCCTTCAGCAAGGGGCCAGAGCACACTGAGAACTACTTAAATAGGACGTGCACAAGGTTATCTGAAGGATTGAGCATAGCAGGAGAGCGGTGGAGCAGAAGTAGGCTGTGTCCAAGTGGTCCCGGGAGCCTGGGCAGCATAGGCAGGGCCGTACCTCACCGCAGCTCTGCCTGTCCCCCACGGAGTGGCTGATGTAGGGTGAATAGGAGATCATGTCGGGGCGGTCAATGTCATAGATGGCCTTGTTTTTAGGAAGGGCAGCCAAGTCCCTGTAGTCAAGGATCTCACTGCCAAGCTTTGCCTGAGAGAAAGAGCAGAGGGAGGGCGGCAGTCAGACTCCATCCTGCAGGGCAGTGGCCCCCAGTGCAGACCAGGGCCTGGGAATACCCCAGATCTGGCAAAAGCACAGGGGAGTCCCCAGAGCAGGAGGGAGCCTGGGTCCCAGAGGCCCAGCCATGGAGGAGCCATGTGGCCTTGAGCAAGCCTCAGTTTCCTCTGTACGTAGTGGGGAAAATGATCACAGGGCAGCAAGTGAGGGCAAAGAGGTGAATGTGTGACAGAAGACAGTGGGACTCACACACAGGTACGGGCATGTGTCTGTACATCTTTGTATAGTGCAGAGACACGTACATGCCTGCACCCATGTGGATTAACTGTCCTGCAGGATTTGCGGGGGTTCTGTCCCAGGATTCCCCCAGATATCATAATCCATGGGTACTCAGGTCCCTGACACAAAGTGGTGTAACGTTTGCATGTAACCTGCACCCACCCTCCCATATAATTTAAATACAGTGTCACCCCTAGGAAGAGCTGTAGGAAGGTTCTCAACCTTCCTAATGCCACAATGTATTTTCATTGTTAAAAAGGGGCCGCAACCCACAGGTTGAGAACCACTGCTCTAGAGGACTTACACTACCTAATAGTTAAAGATAAATATTGATATACTGTATTATTTTATTCATATTTTTATTGTTTTTTCCAGAATATTTTCAATCTGACGTTGGTTGAATCCATCAATCCATGGATGTGAAACTCATGGATACAGAGGGAGATGCACACGCACGCACATACATGTATACATGTATAGGAACACACATGTGCACCATCTGCACCCACATATACACCTGCACAGAGAACATGCCTGTTTCACACTGTGGGGACACAGACACTGACACCTTACATACCACTGGCCCTCACATGCCAGCACACACGTGCACACCCATACTCGGGCATCTGCACACACCCACGCACTGACACAGGTGCTCACACATACTCACAGCACACTTCCTTACTGGCACACACTTGCATGTACACTCACCCCACACACAGCACACACAGCACCTGAGCCTGCCCAGCGAGCACGCATTTATGTGCATTCCCACAGGCCCAGGGACAGCTGCGCGGAGTGTGTTTCCCACTGCCCAGGGATGGCTGCTCTGAGTGTGTGCATGCATGAGGGAGTGGGTGTGTATGAAGACACATATATACGTTTTCAGGCTGTGCATGAGTCTCACTGCTGTCTCAGAACTCACCTCTTTGACACCACAGCTGTCCTGTGATCATCTCCACTGAGGCTTCCTCAAGGCTACAGGTTTGAATACACACACTCACAGCGTTTCTGAGCACTCACAGGGTCATACACACTGGGCAAAGTGCCAGACATTTGACAGGCGGGCGGGTTTACCACCTGCGTGGGGCTCAGGATCACATCTGTCTCTCCCCCTCTGGCCCACAGAGGGCGCTCACTCGTGCTTGCTGAGCATTGCTCAGGAGAGGTCCACCTGGTGGGCGAGCTCTGCGCTGCTCTGTGTCCTTCCCCCTGTTACCCCACATATCACATGCTCTGTCCTCCTGCCTGTCCCTGGGGCATTTTCCTGCCCCTGGTGGCTGTGTTGCCTACACTTCTACATCAGCCCCTGCAGGCCTCCCCTGCCAGAAATTCCTCTAACAAAACCTCCTGACAGCAGCAGCAGCCACTGTGAGGTCTCGACCCTGAGATAAGTGCTAATCTATGCCCTTCGTTTGCTTACAAATCACCACAATAAGCCCATGAAGGGAACACAGGCAGTAACTCCTCTCTTACTACAGATGTAGAAATCAGAGCCCAGAGGAGCTGAGTAACTTGCCCAGAGTCACACAGCCAGGGAGGTGTAGGGCAGGAGGTACCCAGGCTGACTCTAGCACCCATGCTGCCACCATCCTGCTCCTTGGTCCAGGTCCCACTTCCTGTAGAATGTCTCACTCTTGCTGTAGCACACGGCTCCTCGGCTGAAACCTTCCAGGAACACCCTCCTTGGCTGGACAATGCAAGTCCTCACCAAGGCCCCCAGACACAGCCTTCACGTTCCCAGCTTGTTCACCCTATGGTGTCTCCTCCCAGTGCCCCCAATGTGCCAGGCTTAGCCCCCACTTGGTTTCCTGTATCCTCCAGGGTCTCACAGCCCCTGGTCCACTTCCTCCAGGAAGCTTTCCCTGACCACTAGGCTTCAGGGCTTCCTTGAAACATTGGGCCTTTTGTGAATAGGACCCCTGGCTGCCCTTTTGGAGACCCAGGCAGGGTTCAAAACCTGGGATCAAATTCTGAGCCTACCATTTAGAACCATGATGATCTATCTCTTGTTGGAATCTTTTAGCTGCTAATCTCTGCCTTCAGGAGAATCCTAACTTAGGCCCTTGCATGATCTGGTCCTTGTTTAATTGCTTATCACTGCCACTCGCCATAATAAACTCCCTACAGGTCCCAATCACTCAGAGCCTGAGGGCTTTGCCCAGGCTGTTCCCTTCCTGGGATGTGCCCTTCCAAGCCCTCCTTCCCTGGCTCATCCTCCAGCCCTTCCAGGTTCAGCTGAGGATTCTCTCCTCTAGGGTACCTTCCCTGGAGCCTCCTCCTCATCTGGGTTAAATTTCTTCCCTTTAAGCAAAGATGCTTTTCTATGTCATCCCCTGCAGGGCCACAAATCATTACTGAGTTCCTCTCTCTAACTTTGAGCTTGACAGCAGACTTGTCAATTGAAAGAGTCAACCAAGTATTTGCAGAAGTTGGGTAAACTCTCAGGGCCTTCCTTCTGAGAGTGAGGTGCCTGGAGTGACATTTCACAGGTCCACATCCTCCCTTTCCCACTTCCATCCCCTCTCAGGAGTGATGATCAGCAGTGTTGGCCTGTCCCGCCAGCTTTCTTAGCCCAGCCCCTGACAGCAGCGTGCAGGGATGCCACCAGCCTTCACGCCCACCCACCCACCCCCAGCAGTTTGCTAAGTGGCCTTGTAGATCTATTTCCTCCCATGCCAAGTCCTTGGGTAGTTGCTGTGACAACAGGCTAAGCTCTCTAACTGGCAGAAGGCCACGGGGGTGTGGGGGAAATGCACCAGTGTTTTCTCTGTTTTTTTCCTTCTCATATTCTGCCCAACACAATAAACAATAATATGGCCACATGTGACGTTATCATTACAATAGAATCCAGGCAATAATAATCTATAATGTAATAATGCTGCTTTTATAGTATGCACGGTGAAAAAAGGGTTACAAACTAATATGTTCAAAATGACCTCATGTTGTTAAAAAAATCACACACACGTACAGAGAAAAGAGACCCAAAGGCTGCACTGCATAGCGTCAGTGGCGGGCGCTCTGGCTGGCGGGATAATAAATAGTATTAATTTTCTCCTTTGTGCTGATCACGATTTTTTCAAAGAAAAAATGCAGACTACTTTTGTAATGGAAAAAAAACAGCAAAACAGATTATTTCAAAAGCCCATAATCTATTGAGCTCCCACTGTGTGCGTTTTTTGCCTGATGCCAACATGAACAAGGCACGGCCTCTGAGGGCAGCATGGAGTGGGCCCCTCCCGAGGCCACAGTGTGCCTAGCCCCTCCCAGGTGCACACTCAGTTGGTGCAGAAGTTTCTCAATTACCAGTATCCCGCCCTGCTCCTGGGCATGCATCTCACCTGAAAGCTGGGCATAGCATCTGCCCCATCCCTCCCATGGGACAGAAGACCCCTGAGAATAGGGACACCACCTGACCTGACCACAGCTGGGTTCCCAGGTCCCAGCCTGGGGCTTGGTTCTGGGCTGTGCTCATAACTATCTGATGCAAGAAGAAAGGACCCACTATCTCTGTTTTCAGCACTGGGCAATAGGGTCCCCTGGAGAAAACCCAGTTTGGGGGGTCACAGAGATTGGGGTTCAAAGCCCGGCTCTGATACTTCTTATCTCATGGCCACAGGGTCACTACAATTCCTAATCCCTTGGCAAATGCCAATTTGTTTTTTTAAAAAGCTCACGTTAGATGAATAGTTACTATGTGCCATGGAGTTGACATCAACAGCTGCCGCTGCTGTGTGCTTACCGTGCACTAAGGCCTGTGCAAAGCACTTCGCAAACCCAGAGCTCAGAAAACAACTAAATAAGCAGGCTGAGGGCTTTGAAAGAAAGGCCAATGGGAGACTCAGAAGTCTCTGGCCTTCTCCTGCTCTTGTCTCTCCTCTATTTCACTGTCATTAAATAAGTTTATTCTGCTCTTTTCTTGCTAATCTGTCTTTTGTTATGGGAGTGTTGTCCATGACCCATGCAATGGGTGAGGAAAGGTATCACAGCTTTCCACCCTACACAAACATTACCTCATTTAAACAATAATAATCTTAATTATTATTATTCATGATGATGGTGATAGTATTGTGAGCTGAACTATGTCCCCCACCCAAATTCCTATGCTTATAAAGTCCTAATCCCTAGACAATCAGAGTGTGACAGTGTTTGGAGATAGGAACTTTAAAGAGGTCATTAAGTTAACATAAGGTCATTAGGAGGGCCCTAAGCCAAGCTGCGTGGTGTCCTTATAAGAAAAGGAGATTAGGACATAGCCATGCACAGAGGGACAACCATGTGAGGACACAGGGAGAAGGTGGTCGCCTGCAAGTCCAGGAGAGAGGCCTCGGAGAAATCTGCCTGGCCTCCACGGTGATCTGGGATATCTAGGTTCTGAAACTTCAAGGTAATAAATTTCCATTGTTGAAGCTGCCCAGTCTGTGATACTTGGTTCTGAAAGCCCCAGCAGGCAATCACAGGTGGCAACAACATGACAGTAGCAAGTATTTCCTAAGCTCCTCTCCTGGGCTGGGGCTGGGCTCAGAGCCTCAAAGGCAGCGCCTGGACAGCTGTGCTGTGCTCTCCACAGCTCACAGATGAGCTTTCAGGGTTGCAGGTTGGGTAACGCCTCACCTGAGGCACACAGCAAAACTGGGGACTCCAGGTACCTGTCTGAGCCCCAAAGTGCACACCCCAAAGTACCATAGTGCCCTTTATGCTCTGGGCTAGCAATGTGTCACCTTACCTAAGGACTAGTACCCTTACTGTCAGGGTCATCAGGATCAACGCCAGGGATGCCCCTGTGCCCAACTATCTTGAGAGATTAAGAGTGGAGAAGAAGGGCGGCGCCTATGGCTCAAGGAGTAGGGCGCCAGCCCCATATGCTGGAGGCGGTGGGTTCAAACCCAGACCCAGCCAAAAACCGCAAAAAAATAAAAAGAGTGGAGAAGAAGCATACAAAAGATTGAACCCAGCTGGATGTGGTGGCTCACGCCTGTAACCCTAGCACGTTGGGAGGCCCGGGCCAGTGGATTGCTTGAACTCAGGAATTTGAGACCAGCCTGAGCAAGAGCAAGACCCCATCCCTACTAAAATAGAAAAGCTAGCCAAGCATTGTGGCAGATGCCTGTAGTCCCAGCTATTTGGGAGACTGAGGCAAGAGGATCACTTGAGCCTAAGAGTTTAAGGCTGCTGTCAGCTGTGACACCAAGGCACTCTACCCCAGGGCAACAAAGACTCTGTCTCAAAAAAGGAAAAGATTGAACCAATCCCCATTGTGACACAGATACCTGAGGTCCTGGCCTAGGTGTGTGTATGGCAGAAGTGACTTGTCCATGTCACCAGCCCTTTAGCCAGTTCTGGTGGTAGAGGGGGCCTGCATGTCCCCCTCTTCCATGGTATGCCATCTATTACTATTCACCTTGGGGCTTTCAGCTAGACGAGAAATTTTGGTATTGACATAAGCAATGTCAGCAAATAATAATCTCCCATTTCTAATCTTGCCACTCAGGAGAAATCATTGTTAACAGCTTGTTAAAATGTTTCTAATCATTTTTATACTTATATGTGCATATGCATGAGGGTGTAGACACACACACTCTGAGGAAAATGGGATCACACAGTTTATAGCGTCCTTCACAGGTTCCTTCCGGGGAACACATGGGAAAGGCTTTGTCCATGAATATGCACAGCCCTGTGCTGCTGTCCACCAAGCTGGCATGTCCCGCCTGGGTGCCTGGCAAGCTCTCTATCAACTGGAGAGGTGATGTTTGTGCACCATTACAAACAGCTGTGTACGCACCACTTTGTGCTCTGGTCACCAGTTCATTGGGGATGAGTTCCCAGGGGAATTGCCAGGTCAAACAAATATGTCCGTGTTTTAGGCTTTCAGTCAGCCTTCTAAAACCTGCACCGAACTCTGTGACGAGAGAGCTGGCCCCACAGCAGGTGCCCCATGAGACTCTCCAGTCTCCAGGGCCAGCTCAGCAATGGCACCAGGTCCCCTCTTGCCTCTCCACCCTCCTGCCCTGCCCGCTCTCCATAGAAAGGTACAACTTACATAAATCACGCGGCTTGGAGACCCTGAGGTGCTGGAAGCAGGTACAGAAATGATGCTCTCTGAGGAAGTTCTGGTTTCCTGAAAAAGGAGGGGAGAGAAGGAGATGAAGGCAGAGTATCAGGGTTCACACTCCAACAGAAGTGCTTGTCAGGCTGCTCTTTTTAGTTGAGGGTTGAAGGAATTCTTAGAACAAATGCATAGGCCCGAGGGGATGGCTGGAAAGCTGTGACAAGACGACACAGGGCCTGGTGGTCCTAGGTGAGAGAAACTGCAAGGTGCTGGGCTGGCTGCAGCCCCCTGGCAGCTGGTCCTGGGAAGGGCCTGGCCCTCTGAGGGTGAGAGCCAGCTGGGCACGTCTGAGCCTGGGCACACTCCAGCAGCTCAGAGATGTCACTGCCCACCTAGGAGCCTGTGCTGTGGTGTCTTCCACTGACCCCAGGTCTCTGGAATCACTCCTGCTCCTGTTGCCACTCTTTGGGACCATCTCCAGCCTGACCCCAAAGCCCGGCCTTTCTCAGCACCAGGGGCACCTGCTGTCCCCATGTCTCAGAAACAGCTGCTGAGCTCCCCGACTGACCATTCTCAGCATTGCACCTGTGGTCTCATTCCAGCCTTCTTGCTGCCATCACACCTGCTACCTGCTTGTGCACCCCTGCTTGTGTACATGGCTAGCGTCTTAGCTGCTTGAGCCACGGGTGCTGAGCCTGGAGGTAGCACCTTTAAGGAGGTAACTAAGGTAAAATGAGGTCTGCAGGTGGGCTCTAGTTCAATATGCCTCGTGTCCTCATAGAAAGAGGAGACTAGGACACAGACACAGGGACAAGACGGACATCTAGACGCCTTGACCTTGAACTTTCAGCTTCCTGAACCCTGAGAAGACACATTTCTATTGTGTAAGCCACCAAGCTGTGGGACCTTGCTAGGGCAGCCCCCGCAGGCTAACACAGGCTGCAGCTCGAGCCCATTCGCCCACCTCCTGCAGGTGACAGCCAGTTCCTACACCCAGCAGGCCACCAGGATCAGACAGGGGACCACATGGTAGAGAGTGGGACAAACCAGCAAGGCATTTGGGGTTGTACCCCGACAAATGTGATTGAAGATTTTGTTCTGCTTCTAGAAAGGAAAGAGAAGAGGGAGGGGGCGTGATGTTCAGGCCTCCAGCTCTGCAGCCCCTCTGGCTCAGCTCAGCACAGCCCCTCACTATGCCTGGCATCTCCTGCTCCTCCTTCAGGACCAGGCTTGGCTGCCATCTCCCCCTCCTCCTCCCCCTTGAGGCCTTCCTGGCCTCCCTCAGCACAACAGTCGGGCACTAACTCAAGGATTTGTCTGTCCCCTGGAATGGGGCTTCTGAAATCCAATCAAGGCTGAGTCCCTGACCACACCTCAGACAGCATAACACCACATGCCACCTGCAAAGAAGGTGGGTGACTCCAAGGCATGTACTGCTGTCCCTAGGGCAAGATCACAAGTTTTATAGGCCAAAAATGATCATGCCTAAATTTTGTACGTTAAAAATACTCTTTGAGTTTCAGCTGCCTTTTCCATAAAATGAAAGCACCTCCCAGAAAGTAGCTGTTTGTTTCTGAGGGCTAGATCAGAGATGAGGTGCTTAGCACTGAACAATTCTCATGACTACTATTTCAGCTCAAGTTGGGCTTATGAGACGACCTTGACAAGGAAAGCCCTTTCTTCTCTGCAAAGCAGAATAACATTGGGGATTTTAAGCAAAATGTTCCATGTTCCCCTAAGCTGAGTGGACCAAGAGCATTGACAAGAATGTCTCCCAGGAATACATTACAAACTCCAAGTGAACTTGGGCACAGATGGGTGGTTATGCTTAGGAGGAAGGGAGCTCTGGTGGGTTTCAGCATGGGCCCTGGAGGCTGGTTTGCTAGGAGCAGGTTTGAGGCAGGTCTGAATGAGAGGCTGGTGTGCTGCCACTCCCCTCTCCGGTCCCAGCTCCGTGAGGAGGAGGAGGAGGAACAGCTGCCCCAAGCTCAACGAGCAGAAGGAGCTGCACAGAGGGCATTTTCCTCAGCAGGAGACACTGGAGCTTTTTCTGACTTTCTACTGTGACTCCAATTTGCCCAAAGGAGCTTTGCAATGAAAGTCCATATCCTCCTCTTCAGAGGCAGGAGTGCTGGGAGCTCATCCAGCTCCAATCCCCACCGGCTTCTCCAACTTCTCCCTAGGGATGCAGCGATCCTACAACAGTGACAGGGACGCCTGATTCCCATTAAGGTCGACCCCTCTCAACTCCATGTTCAAGTCTAGAAGCTGAGGCTCAGAGAGGGCTAATAAGTTGCCCAAGGTCACATAGCTGGGATGAGGCAGAGCTGGACTCCGAGGCCAAAGCTTGTTCTATGACTCTTGGCTGCTGCTGAGAATTCTAGTAGGACATTCCTGGTCACATTCACCTAAAATGGCCTTGCTTTTGGCCTCTTGGGCAGTCTTGACAAGGCCGTTTCCTCCCAGCCTCACACCCACACTGACCACCAGCTCTGGCCTCTGTACACAGGGAGGCCTTATTCAGAAGGAACACAGGATTCCTGCCCCAAAGTCACCCAGCCTCTAGCTAGAGTGAGAGCCTGTCCCTGAGGCCACTGTCACCATTCCTGGGGCTCATCTCTGGCTACCCAGCAAGCACATGGCCACCCCTCCACTCCATGGCCCTGAAACCCTGACATAGGACTCAGGGCCAGGACTGGGCTGGGCTGCAGGTCACAGCTCCGGGGCACTGGCTGTGACCCCCAGCCCACCTGGGCTCTGCCCTCCCTGGCTGACAGCCCAGCACCCTGTACCTCAGAGGCTGCGGTCCACACCTGCCTTCCCTGCCAGACAGGGAGCTCCTCCGTATCCCAGCCACCCAGCTTCAGAACATACACAGTAGATGCTTCGTAGCTGTGTGCTGAATGCCCATACAATCAAATGCCCAAGGACAAACTTGGGACCACACCCTTGGCAGATGTCCAGGGACATCTCACAGGCGGTACTTGTCCTGAGGCGCTCCCATCCTGAGGGGGTGGGGCAGCCTTGCTGTCAGGAATATCTTCCAGGCTGAGGAGACCAGTGTACCACCCACCCTCCTCCCCGCATCCTCGCATGGATCTGGAGTGTAGGCACTGGCCTCTCCTGCTGGACAGCAACCCTGAGGCAGGGGTGGAGCTGGCTCCTCTGTGGGTCCCGAAGCCCAGCAGAGGGCCCGTTACACAATTGCTGAGCACAGGTGCCAGACCGTGTAGCATTTCTCCTCTTGATTATTGGGTAATGTGGCAGTTTCAGCATTAATAATGCTGCTGCCACCTCCTGCTGCCTTTCTTAGGGGCTGATGGCCCATGTGAGCTGGCCAGACCTGCCCACTCTGTAGGCAGGTGTCTTCAGGCTGCCCAGCCTCTGCCCCATTTCCTGACCAAAGCCAACTAGTTCTCTTTTTAAAATAATTGTTTCAAACTCATCTGTGAACAACAGAGCCCAGGAAGCTAACTCCCTACCCAGGCCCATGAGGACAAGGACCCCCTTCTTCCCTGTCTAGGCAGTATCTGGCTATGCAGAGGGCCTCCCCACTCGTGGGTCAGTGACCTGGAGGTCAGCAAAGCAGGCATCAATGCTGAGGGCGGAGTTGCTGCCACCAGGTCAGCCAGTGCCCAGCCTCCTGCACACCCCAGAACCAGTGCTACAGCTGGTGCAGGACACTCTACCCTGTCTTTGAGGGGACCCAAATGTGGCCTGTGAGTCTTCCTCTTCTACCCTGTCAGTTTCAGAAGACAGGGTTTCCTCACGTGTGTGTAAGTGCCAGGAGCGCGATTTAATAGCCAGGCCCACTCAGACCCCTTCAACAGGCCTCTTTCCAGACAACACTCAAGACCCCAGGCCTCTTTAGAGTCTCAGGCCATGGCTCATTGAGGGCAAGAATGCTGCCCTGCTTGTCTCTGAGGCATGGGCAGCAGGGGATGGTTGGGAGAATGAACCATGAACCCCAGCAGCCACTCCAGATAACAAAAGCATTGACACTGCACTACAACTTACTGCCCTCCCCACGGGCAGGGTTCACTATTCCGCAGCTGAAGGAGGCAGCCAGATGCAGAAGTACTGAGACAGGGTCAGGGAGTCATGGAGCAGCCTCTGCCCAGGCCTCTGGCTGCCAGGCTTCCCCCGTGGCCCTGCCTGTTCCCTGCCGACTCCTCCTGCAGCTGCCCTTGGGACTCTTCCTTCACTCTCACCCCCACCTGCAGCTGGGTGTCTTAAGTGGCCAGGACACACTGGTCAGTGAAGGAGCCACCCTCCCAGGGTTCATGACACCAGTGTCACACAGCATAGTTCAGAAAATCCTGCTCCTGAATTCTGTCCAGACCCCGTCAGACACTTGAACAGAGCGCTTTGTGCTCTGCGGGCTCCACTGCTGTGTCGCCATTTCTCAAAAAGGAGCCCTCGCTGTGGCTACAGGATGTCTGCATCACTCCAGACCCTCCAGGTAGCTATTCAGTGGCCTGGGTGGGGCTAGGAACCTAGTGGGGGAGGAAGCAGGAGGTCAGGGGTCCTGGGGATGGACCAGGATGTGGCCTGACCTGGGCTGTAGGGACGCCCTTGGGCCACAGACCCTGAGACCCTAAGCCAGATGGGGGCCTGTCCTCTGCCCCGAGCCCTGTGGCCTGAGGCTCGTGGTGAGGGCCTGCACACAGGCACCTGGTCTGTGGTTCCTCTGGGCTGCATTCACCCACTAGATTCAGTTCCTTCCTTCATTTAACAAGCACCAAGCCTCTGCCACATGCCAGGACTCCTGCCAGCAGCTGGGGATTCTGGAACAAGAAATGGACCTCAGTGGGGATATCTGGCATGATCTGATGGGGTAGGGGCTCTATGACGTAGCACACAGGTTCCCTGTGAGCTATCTAGCTGGCAGGGGTGGAGTGAGGGAGGATGTGAGGTGATAGGGAGCAGTTGGCAAAGTCTTCAGCGATGACATTTATGGTGGGTCTTAAAGGCTCCAGAGTAGTCTTCCAGGATGCAAGGGGAGGGTGGGCCTGCCTGGTAGAAGGAACAGCATTTGCAAAGGTGCAGAGCCCAAAGAGGGCATAGTCCAAAGGGCAGAGGTGCACTTGCATGGGGGGAGCTGGGCTCCAGGTGAGTGGGTGGCAGCGGGAATTCCTCTCTCCCTCCAGGCACCACTACTAGCCTCCTCTTAGCTCCTAGAGCTGGCTGGGCTTCTTCCTGCCTCAGGGTCTGAGCACTGGTGCTGGCCCTGCTGACACCTGAGCACTGGTGCTGGCCCTGCTGACACCTGAGCACTGGTGCTGGCCCTGCTGACACCTGAGCACTGGTGCTGGCCCTGCTGACGCCTGAGTACTGGTGTTGGCCCTGCTGACACTCCTGCCCTCATCATGGGGGACGCTCTTGCCCCTTTGCTCTAAGCTGGCTTCCTCTGAAGACCTTCTCTGACCTCTCATCTAATGTGTTCTCCCCTGCCAGCCTTCTTAGGACATCCTGTTGGCATCCTTCAGCCACCTGCTGCTGCTGTTTTCTTGGTGAGGTGTGAGTTTCTGGGGTATAAGCTCCAGGGTGGCCAGGCGACCCCTGCTTGCTCATGACTGCACCCCCTGTGCCTGGGGCATAGCAGGGTGTCTGTGCAGTAGAGGATTCAGCCTATCCAAAGAGAGGTTTGGCCTTGCTCTCTGTTTCTGGGAAGTAATCTGTGTCTCACCTGAGAGGAGCACCTTTGTTTGAAGAGAGGGCTGGCCATGCCTGTCCATCTTAGGGTGGGGCAGCCAATTACATGACTCAGGGTGGGAGGTTTGGGTTACATGGTATCCCAGCTGGCAAGTGGGATCCACCAAGTAGGCCATGAATCAAACAACCAATCACACCTATGCCTTGGAGCCCCAATAACACCTCAGGACACTGAACTTTCCTGGCTACCAATGCTCTGTGTATTCTGTCCCATGGTGACCTGTCCTGACTCCTTGGGAAGAGGGTGACAGAAGCCTGGTGTTTGGGACTCCCCTGATTCTACCCACATGGCTCTCTCCTTGGCTGACATCACTCTGAATCCTTCCTCAAAATGAACTGTCACTGTGAGGATGCTGCCTTCCATGAGGTCTTGAGACCTTCCAGTGAATTATCAAGCCTGAGAGAAGTTCAGAGGAGAGCCCTTGAACTTGCAGTTGGTGGCAGAAGTGAAGGTGGTCTTGGGGACTGTTTGGGCCCCTCTAATGGCAGTTATTCCCGAGCTCTCACAGCCATTGGTGTTCACAGAATAAGTGAAGAGGTCAGCAGGGCGTGTGCACAGAGGCTCCTAAATGTCCCTTTGCCATGGTTTGAATGTGTCCCCCACAGAGCTCACATGTTGGAAACATGGTGGCCTTCCTGGCAGTGTTAGGAGGTGGGACCTTTGCAATGTAATGGCGCAATGTAAGAGCTCCCCCTCATGAATGGATCAATGCTATTATTGCAGGAGCGGCTTGGTCATTGAGGGAGCTTAGCCCTCTTTTTCTCTCTGTCTTGCTTTACTATGGCACCGTCTCACCCTCCTGCCTGCCACTCGTCTGCCATGGGGTAGCCCTCACCAAATGCTAGTACTGCAATCTTGGACTTCTCCAGCTACAGAACAATGAGCCAAATAAACTTCTTTTAAAAAATAAATTACCCAGTCTGTGGTATTCTGTTACATCAACAAAAAACAAAGACACTCCTGATCTACCCTGCATCACTGCTCTTCCGAGCTGCCTGTGAACCTGTCACCACCTTCTAAGCCTTGTTGCCTCCATCTTGCAGCCCATGCAGCTGGCCAGTGTCCTCTAATTGCATGGAGATGACACCTGAACACTGAAAAATACCTCGGAGAAACTAGTAAATTCTACTAACCTTGTTTTTGTCTTCAGTTCTGGCGGCTTCTCGGCAGGCTGGATGCCAGATGGAGGAACCTGTTGACAAATTCCCAAAAGGGAAAGGATTACAGTGACTTCCCATGACAGAGCGGCCCAGGCAGAGAATCAGAGAAGGGGGCCAGTCTATGTGGGGCCACTCACTTGAATGCCACCCTCCAAGCGGTCCCTGAGCACCTCTCCATGCCAGAGTGGCACTGGGCAAGGGTCATCCAGATGACAATGCCTGCCCCAGGGGGCTCATAGCCTGGTGTTGGCAAGGAAAAAATGGGCAAAGGTGCCACTGTTTGCTAACTGCTCCCAGAGGAAAAGGCACAGGGTCCTGAGGAACCTGCTGGGAGTGGCAGCCAGAAAATGCTTCTCAGAAGAGGGTGTGTGTGAGCTGGCCTCAAGCTCAGAGGGAGGGGAAGAGAGAAAAGGCTCCCTGGGCAGAAGCCCACCAAGGTAGGCTCAACACTGAGGCAGTGGCCGGGACCCTCTGTGGGCACAGCTGGGACTGAAGTTGGAGTGGGGTCCAGCCTTGGGGAGGACTTTGAGGGTGGGGCTCCCAGCTGAGAGGCAGGAAGGGAAGAGCTCAGGTGGGAAGCTGGCCTACTCCTTAGGGTGTGGAGTGAAGAACAGGGCGTGGGGTGGGAATTGGGCATGAGCGTCCAATGTCAGCCCGACCCTGTCACTAATTCACTATCTCTGAGGCTTTCTGTGCCTCAGTTTCTTCGCCTGTCAGCTCTGCCCAGTCACTCATGTCAACAGCCATTATCCTCCACATAAAAAGGTCGCCAGGGACCAAGCACCCCTACATCCCTGGCATTCTGCTCATCTAATTCAACCTCAACCTGCCCTGAGCCTTTGCTTTTGATCACCTAAAAAGAGAGCGAATAATAATCTTGCCTCATCAGGTCACTGGGTGAATTTAATGAAACAAGTAGAGGTAATGATTGGAAAAGTGGGTGGGGAGCTGCATGCAAATGTAGCCGCATCACATGACCATTCTCAGGCAGGGAAGCTTAACGCATGGCAGCTCCCCTGCCCACCTCCCAATTCTTCTTGCTTCTCCTCTCAGGTGCCCCTGAACCTCAGCTGTACCCGCTGCTCCCTGAGACCACACATCTGCTGCTGCCAGGACTGGGTGTCTGGTTCATTCTCTCATCTGCCACTCCCAACCCACTCGCACAGCCCCCAACAAGCCCCGCAGACCGGGCACACAGAAGAGGCTTAAAGCCATGTGTAGAATCAAGAACTCAGCCCATTCCCTGCTTGCAAAGCCTTCCAGGCCATTGGGTTCGATCACCACTCCTCCCTGGGAGCAGAGTATGTCTGTACAGAGCTCTGAGAGACTGTGACTGAAGCTTATGTGCGTGTGTGCATCTGAGCGCGTATGAAACATTATTTTCTAACTTTTTTATGATTATAAAGGTAATAGACTTCTGCTGCTACAGTTCCTTATTAAAACTTATGGAAACCTACGAAAGTATCAATAAGAAAATTAAAATCATCTGTAATCTCTCACCCACTCTTTGCAGGCCACCTTCTGGTATATGTGGGCATTCTAAACGGAATGCGACCCACGTGCACATACATAGCTTAAAAATCTCTTGAACATTTCCTCACAATTAAATATCAAATAATGCAACTTTAGAAGCTGCTTAACGTTCCATCGTGAGGATGGATGTGAATTTATCTCTCCTCCTCTCCCTTGTTTATTTGTCAGCAGCACCGCAGGGCTCCAGCATTCTTCCCAGAAATGGAGTCTTGGCTCAAAGGGCAAGGACAAGTTCAGGCTCTGGAGAGTTCTGGCAATTCCCATGTTCACCCCCACCAGCAGGGTAAGGGAGCTGTTCCCTTGAATTCTCACAAACACAGGGGCTAGGGCTTCCTTTTCATCTTTGTTGCCTCAGTGGGAAAAAGTAGTATCAAGGGTCATTTTAATCTGGGCTCCAGATGTCAGTGCACACCCAAAGCATGGGTGCAGGCGCTTCCCAAATGGGGGAAGGAGCCTGTGCTGGGGGCGGGGGTGGAGCTGAGGCCCTGGGGAGCGCCTGCACCCATGCTTTGTGGGGCTCCTATGCAGACACTGCACCTGTCGCTAACATCTGCCTGGGCCCCGACACCCAGGCAGGCCAGGCAGAGGGCCTTGGGTGGGATGAGCAGGTGGGGCAGGGGCCCCATAGAGGCCACTTCATAGAGCAGAGCTTGACAGTCACCACCCTGGCCTGACAGATTGGGAACTTCAAGGCCTGGAGGGGGGTGGGTATGGCTTCAACACCCTACAGATTGTCACAGCAGGTCCCACTTTAGAAATGAACAATGTCTTTGTTCCTAAGACCAGGCTACTCTGGACACAAGCTCACATCCCAGGCGGCTGTCCCATGCCATTTTGCATGGCCTCAGTAGGGCTGTCATCTGAGAGCACAATGGTGCTGACACTGTGGGGCCCAGCATCCCTGCCCCAGTACTCCAGTGTTGCGGGGTGGGCCCAAAGGATCCCTTCACAGGCTCTCAAGCAGACTCAAGGAACAAGGGCAACACTGGCGATGAGGCCATCCAATCTGATGTCACCCACTGGGCTCAGCTTCAGAAAGGGAGCCCTGTCTGACATATAGCCCTGAGAGGACAGCCACATGAGGTCATTTGGCACCTGCAGGAGGCACGCATGGCAGATGCCACAACAGTGGCTGTCTTGCCACTGGCCCAGCCCACCCCAGTCTGCCTCTGGGCTCACTAGAGAAGAAATCTTCAAAAGGAAGAAGTGGCTACAGAGAAGTCTTGATACCAGAGTCATCCTTGCCTGGGTCCTGGGGATGCCTTCAGTACATGGACGGCTGTCCCACTCTCACTGGCCCTGGGGTGGGGCCCTCCAGTCAGGCTCTTCTAAGAGCTCTTCTCAACTGGACCTTGATCTTGGCCTTGGTCTCAGCCATCCCCCCCCAACTATGGTCTTAGTCCTGCCTAGTCCAGGTACAACAAGACTCCCACTAAGTCAGTTTAGCAGATTCTCAACCACCCCCACCTTTCAAGGCTAAGTCCTGGGTCTGACTTCAGCAGGAGTCCCACCATCTGCTGGTAGTTCCCCTGTGCCGCCGCCTCCCCTGCCTCTTGGAGATAGCTCCACACTCTTCCTGTGGTATTCGGAATTAAGCCCCTTCTCTCTCCTGACTTCTGCTGTAACAGCCCGAACTGTCTTCCTTACTGTTTTTAACAAGTGTCAGAATAATCTTCTTTACTAGGGAGGGCTCAGGGAATGGGTAAGCACCAGGTGAAGGAGTTATTGCGTGACAAAGCAGAGTGTCACTCTCTGTGCTCACATGGAGAGAGACGGGTCGGAACATGCCCCCTAAACACAAATAGGAGGCCAGATCATGGCGCCCCAAACATACCTCCCTGGTGTAAAGATTATTTTGAATGAATTATTTGAGCAGATTCAGGAAAGCTTTGAAAACCAAGTGGAAGTGACTCTTATGTGAGGGAAACTGACATCTCTGAAGGACAACTCCTGCATGGCATGGAGAAGGACATTGACCCGTCCATGGCAGTGGAGAAGGAGCCCAGCAGACCCCTGACTTGGCGCCCCAGTCTCGGCAGAGCTACATCCCTTACCCTCCTTTCTCTGCTTCAGGAACGACAGCGTCTCTGCCAGAAACCAAAGCTGCCTCTTTGTGGTTTGTTCTTGCGATGTACTTATTTATCTGGACATCTCTCATGCTCAGTATACATGTTTCTCTGGACCATCTCTCACGCTCAGTATACACGTTTCTCTGGATCATCTCTCACTCAGTATACACGTTTCTCTGGACCATCTCTCACACTCAGTATACACGTTTCTCTGGACCATCTCACACTCAGTATACACATTTTTCTGGACATCTCTCACACTCAGTATACACTTTCTCTGGACCATCTCTCGCACTCAGTATACACGTTTCTTTGGACCACCTCTCACACTCAGTATACACGTTTCTCGGGACCATCTCTCACACTCAGTATACACGTTTCTCTGG